GAGTCTACATTTCAGCCTTTTCCAAATTCTCCCGACTATCGTACACATCAGTTTTTCCCCCTCTGAAGAGGTTGTTCCTGAGTCTACATTTCAGCCTTTTCCAAATTCTCCCGACTATCGTACACATCAGTCTTGATGGCCTGGAAAAGCTCGAGTGTTAAATGCTCCCTAAAAAAACAAACCCCAAACCCCTGACGATCTACTTTTTTTTTGGTAGAAATACTGCTTTGTGTGAAGTTTTCAATATTTATGGGACACCTGTTAATGATAAAGCTTTATTTACAAGACACCCGTATTTTGAATGGTTGTCAACTCTGAATGTGTGACATGGACCTGAACTTCATCGATGAAAATCTTCATCGATGATCTCCTGTTATGTAGCTGTATATGCATGCTTGAACCTGTCTGAAATATAGTATATGTTATATAATGTATATTGTCTATAGCATGTCATACATATTATTTACATTCATATGGTCGGAGAAAAACCATTAAAGCCATAAAGAACAAAACTTAACAAATGCCTGCTGTACATTATCAAATACCGGACATAATCTCACAACTGTTTTGAACTTTGTAGTTCTGACATCTGTGTGTTGTCTATATTTAAAAGATAATGGGAGGGAAGAGTTGGAGATTTATTCTCAGATTATTCTTTATATACTCAAGGGTTTCAAGGGAATTTACTACTGTAGACATAGTTTTCAGAGAACCTTTTTTTTTTTTTTTTTCCTTCTTTTTCCCCACAGTAGGCTTGGAGTTGGGATGGGGAGGATGAAGGAGAGCTCCAGCATACTACTGGATTATGGGCCAAGAATTCTGCTTAGCATCCTACCACAAAAAGTCATTCATTCCAAACAGAGTTTGGAAAGTCTGATTGTCTTGTACACTTTTTTCTTTCTTTCTTTCTTTCTTTCTTTCTTTCTTTCTTTCTTTCTTTCTTTCTTTCTCTCTCTCTCTCTCTCTCTTTCTTTCTTCCTTTCTTTCTTTTTTTTTTTTTGAAGTGCAGCCTCATAGTGGAAGGAACTCAATTGAGATCAATTGAAGTTGGTAGTTTGTACTTTCAAATAAATATTTTCTAGATTTTAACCCAATAGTTAAGGAACCTTACTTGTCTTGGTTACTACCTGCTTTGGAGTGTGCCTAGAAGTCACTGACATTCTAGTTGGTGCTCAGTATTCATGTGCAGGTGACCTATCTTGTCCGACAGTTTTTCCTACTTAGCAGAGGAAGAAGTAGTACTGTACAGGTGTTTATGTCTCAAACATGTTTCAGGGTGCAGACTTGTAATTCTTCAGTTTACTGAAATTAGAAGTTTCATAAATTAGGGATTGGAAGCTTGAGTAATTTATCATTCTCAGGATTGGGTTTTATTTCAGTGCCTCCTGTGATTAATACTTGAAAGAGACCTGAGGGTTGCTTGAAATGTTTCCATTAAATAATAGTGGGGCTATTGTAAAAATGCTGTAGTTATGAGTTTGTAACATAGTGGTGTAGACTGTTTTTCCTGAATTGATGTTTAAGCCCTAGGCTTAATATTAACAATAAAAGAAAATTCATAATAAAATCAAATTGTTAGATATCTTTTTTCTTAGTTTGCTGTCTATAAAGTAGAATCCATCTATTTCTTTTTTAAGTACTTTGTAAAAATTATGGGATCTTGCCTTTCTTTAAGGATTTTTACTTAATTTTTTAAAAAATTTATGTGGCATATCTTTTTGTTGTTTGGTTTGGGGACAGTGTTTCAAGTAACCCAGGATGGCCTTGAAACAAAAACTCACTATGTAGGTAAGGATGACTTTGACTCCTGTACTTTGAGGAGTATCTATCTTCTAAGTATTGGGATTATGGGTCTGTAAGACCACTATGCTCAACTTTTGGCAGACCTCCCCCACCCCTCTTGTTTCTCAGGCTGGCCTCAAACTCTTCTGTACACTCTTTGTAAATGCTGGGATTACATGTTGACCACTACCTCATCTTTATGGGTTCTGGGGCTTTGACCCAGCTATTCTCAGATGCTAGGCAAGCATTTTACCAACTCAACTTTATTCCTGGAACAGCCTTTTTATATGTTAATATCGCATATAGTTTACTAGGAAAGCTCTGGAAAGAAAATAAATTATCTCAAGACAAAATCTTCATTCCAAGTTTCTTTATGATTTAGACAAATGTTTTGGTATGTGGGATGTGGATCTGTGTTTGTTGGTTAGAAGGTTCTTCACCTTTACATGGATTCTAGGAAGCCAACTCAGGTTCACAGGCTCCACTACAATGCTTTTACCCACAGGGTCGTCTCTATGGCCCTTCCGTGTTTCTTAATATCTAAGTTGTTTTTTGGCTTTTCTTTCCTAAGCAAAACAGTATGAGTAATAGTAGGTGGAACCAAACAATGCAGGTATCCCTATGGGTGGGGGGCTGTAGTGATTCAAGAACTGGTGTGTAGAAGCAAGCATGAGTAGGGTTGAAAGGGTGGCCCAGCTTCCAGTGCAAGGGCATTAGATGTTGAGAAGGTAGTTTCCATGTACAAAAGGACAGCTTGTGTAGTCAGATGAGTTCAAATATGGAAATAGGAGTAATTCACATAGGAAGGTCCTTGGTGAGGGGTGAATCCAGGTAGGGAGAAAGTGAGCATTTTAGTTAGAAGCAAACTGCTATGGTATGAGGAGGATACCCATGCAGGACTCTTTGCTCAGCACAGTAGTTGGAATCCTGGTGGTTCTACAGGGTGTCTTCACAGGATAGTTGCTTGGAACTTGGTGAGAGAACATGTGGAAGGTGTGGCTGGGATCCCAGTGTGGGAAAACTTCTTAGCTGATAGAAGTCTGGGATGTTTGATCAGACAGAGTGAGGTCACTGTAGGGATTAAGACAAGTTGTGTTAGTGAGCTTAGGTGATGATCACATATATTCTTTTGTGCTTGGGAGGAGAAAGGATAACATAGAATGGATCCTGTGATTTTAGACAGCAATTGTAGGGATCTGAAGTCAGATACAGAGAAATACAGGCACACACATACGCTCTCTCTCTCTTGTTTTAGAGGCTGGAGAAAAGATGGTAGCTTCCTCAAAACAATGAGCACATAGGGCATCCAGTTCATTCCTGATTTCTAAACTGAAACTAAAGGGAAATGGGCATCTCTTTACAAATTGTGGCCTTTAGAGCTGGTACAGCCAACATAAATATTAGACTAGAAAAAGTAGAATATTTTGCTATTACTTATATACCATTTGGGTTAAGTAAAAGTGGGGCTATATAAAGAACTGGTGTTGTTAGTATTTTCATCTTTAAGAGTGTGGTAGTCATCATCTTATTATAGAATCTTCAACTTGAAGGTTTTCCTTCATAGTTCTACGCTTAAAAGATAAGGATGGCATGTTTTATCACCATTTTACTCTCTTTTTTCTATTATTTTCAATTCCTGCCTTTTTGTGGTGGAGTACTTCAGTTTTAAAATTATCTTAATTTTAGATAATTTCATTATTAAGAATTTTTGCTCCCTGTTGATAATACACAACTTTAGATTTTTATTTTTATTATTTACTTTAGGAAGAGGATTTTCCTATATGATCCAAGCTGACATCAAACTTAGACATCTCTTTCACAGGTCACCATGGCAAGCTCCATTTTGGCTTCAAGGGTTGTGCATTTCAGATATCTTTTGAATGCAATTACTTTTCTTATTTTTAGGTTTTTCTTTATTTTTATCTTTGAATTAAACTTTCTCTTGGGACATTTTACATTTTAAAAACTTATGTCTTAATTTTTCTTTTCTGTTTTAGAGATGTAAATGTCCTGTAATCCACAGGTGTTGGTCATGTTTGAGACTTAGGCAACAGAATACTATTTGTGAGAGACACAACTGTAGTCATCTGTTCTATAAATATTCTTGTAAGGTCCAGAGGAAACTCCAGTTCCTCAAACTTCTAACTAGCCATCTTGCCTGCTCCTATAATTTTTTTGATAGTATTATATGGACAGTTAACAATTAACAGATACTTGTTAAGTGAGTACATGAAAATATGTTCTCTTATTAATACTGTATTGTACTGGAATTATTTTGAGGATGAGTTGTATTTGATTATAGTTTAAAAATTGATAGTTAACTTTTCTTTCAGGATCATCTAAAAAATTATCACAGAAGATTTTGCCGGCCTTCCAGGTAACATGTTTATACTTGAACTTTTAAGGTGATTTATTTTCATCTTCAGAAAATGGATTTGAAAATAAAAAGAAAAAACTGTTACCTTTGACTGATTAATCTGTATGCCCACTGATAATTTGATCTTTTAATTATTTTATATGACAGAAATATTAACACAAATTGTGTATGAGTTAGTGGAAGTAAGAAAAATACTTACATAGAATCATGGACAAGAAGAATTGAACACTGAATTACGAAAAGCACTGAATGATAATATTAATGAATTATACTAATTTAGTAAGTTTTTGGACCATAAAGAACTTGCATTCTTGTTGGTTTTTTTTTTTTCTGTACTACTAGTAAAATTATTTAATGGACAAAAGTATTATTTATAGTAGGATTATAAAGTAACAAGTATCATAAAAGTTTTATATATAATTTAGCTATTAATTTGAAGTACAGACAGCCATGTAAAAAATTGTGTGAAATTTGTATGTGTTTTAATATGAATGAAATCTTTAAAAGTTTAAACAAAAGTTTATCAACCCTCTTTAGAGGTAATTTATATTGACTGAAATCCAGATGTCCTTCATCAGGTAAATAGTTAAACTCTGATCTATTCATTGCATAGATATTATTTATCAGTAATTGTAATTAACTGTTTATTTGTGCAATAACTTGGATTGCTTTTTAGAGAATTATTCTGAGTAAAGAGCGTCGGTGCAAAATATTACATAATATACAATTCCATTTCTATGGAAGGTGATGATGATGATTATTGACACAGGGTTTCTCTGTGTAGCCATGGCTGTCCTGGACTCTTCGTACATCAGGTTGGCCTCGAACTCACTGATATCCATCTGCCTCAGCCTTCCTGAGTGCTGGGATTACTGGCATGAGCCACTGTGCCCGGCAGATGATTATTTTTTAAATGACAGAAATTTAAAAATGAAGGACAGATAATTGGTGGATAAGGGTTAGGAATGATAGGATGTAGTGAGGAATGAAGGAAGTTAGAAGGAAGTAGATATATTCCTGCCAATACATGAGTCCTCATGGTTACCAAACCATTCAGTAGTCTTCTCTGATTGTGATATTGAATGTATAGAGGTAATACATTGGGTAGAATAATGCATTCCCTAAACACACACACAGACACACACACACACACAAAACTGAAATAATCCACGAAAGATATTTACTGATAACCACGTTGATTAAACCGGTTAAAAGTTTTGAGTCTTTTTTAATGGTCAGATAATGCAGACGCTTGCTACTGAAAGTCTCTTGGTGACCAAGGTCAGGGGCACAGTGTTTTTAAAGACAAAACAACACGATTGCAGCAGTCTTTGGGGGAGGGAGTTCCCATTAGTTTGGGATTTGGGGTGCTCTAGTAGCATGTGCTTTCTTGCAAAGCTAAGCAGTATTTTCCACATACTACATGACAGTTACTTTTCATTTATATTTTCTCTTAATTGTTATTATTATTACAATTATTTTCAAGACAGGGTTTCTCAGTACAACTCTTGCTCTCCTGGAGCTCGCTTTGTAGACCAGGCTGTCCTCTGGGTCCTGACTGCTGGGATTAAAGGCATATGCCACCGTTGCCTGGCTTTAATTTTTTTTCCAAGCTTCCACAAAAATCAGTTATTGCATTTAATACGTCTGGACCACAGTCAGGGTCACGGAGCATTCCAAAAATGATGCCAGGGTGGATGTTGTTCTTGGGGTTTGGAAGGCTAAGAAGTATCTAGGCAGACACAATAAAGTTGGGACAAGGTGGTCCTATATTTGTCATTTCTAAACTTAAACACACCCTTTGTAAATATGTATATGGTAGTATAAAATCAACACAGTATGTTATTAAGCTATTTCTGTTCATTCATAAATTGCTGATTAATTAAAAATGAATGCTGTTGAAAAGTACACTTGAAAAGTTGCAGAGAACATATGTTACTTAAAGATGTTGAGACTGGTGTCTGTAATTATAGCTCAGTGGTAGATGAATTGCCTATAATGCCAGACGTCCTGGGTTCAGTTGCCAAAACAAAAGCAAAACATTTCAGAACCAATTTAGTTTCTTAAAAAACCAGAATTATTAGTGAAATATAACAGTTGTCTGAACCAATTTTAATTTTAATATTTAAAAATAATTTTAATAACCAATTTGAATTTTAAATGCAGATATTCTACTCAGTAGATATTTGTAGATAATAGCATACCTTCTCTTAATATTACATACAGATAGGATGAACTTGATGGATTTATAAACTATCAATTAATTGTCTTGTGTTCAAAAAGCAGAGATACTTTTTCCTATTTAAAGCTAACATTTTATATGAAATTTTCAAGCAGACAATAACATAAGTAACAGACATCTTACAGAAATGATATATTTTCTTTTTTATTAGAGCACCCAACATTCATAAAAAGCAATGCCAGAACGTGTTGGAAATCGTACAAGACTGTTTTGAAGAACAAAGTAAGGCTTCATTGTAAGATGGTTTCTCAGAGTTGGTATAGATGAAAACAGATTTAACACTAATGTTAAATGTAGCAGATGTATTCTAACATTTAAGTATATGGAATAATTTCTGTATAGTTTTGAATATATATATATATATATATATAACTAATCCTTCTTGTAACTTTTGGTATATTGAGGAGAATATTGTTATAGTGACAGTAACAATGTATCATCTTTAATTCACCAGATTCCTATAATCTGGAACTCCATAGAGCCATACTTTCCTCAAAAGAAAATATTTCTCTTATGTGAAAATCTAAAATCATAAATGCTTTAAAATCTAGAAGTTTGGATATGAATATCATACCACAAATGGAAAATTCTATGAAACTGTATGCACAAAATTACCTTCAGTCTTTTTGTGTAAAGTGCATTTGAAATATAAATGTTTTACGTTTAGACTCAAGAAAAATCTTATGCATATGTACATATTTCAAAATCTGGAAAGAGCATGAAATTAGATACTTACAGATCCAAGCATTTCTATAAGAGAGAAAGTGTAATGGAAATAAGAGTGTAGAATTCTACGAATCATTTGAGTTAGAAGTAATTTTGGTAATTTGCATTTTATTTTATTATGAAGTGATAAATTAGCACAAACACACCAAACAAAAAACGTTCTGAGGCTTAGCAGATTAGGTGAGTGGTGAGATGGTAGATGCCATGTTTCATGTCATTTCCAAGAGCATGGTTGGAATATTGGTCTCTAGCGCAGCAGTGCTCAGAGAGGAGACCTCTGAGGTGTGAGTAGATTATAAGGTTTCTGTCCTCATGAGTGAATTTATGATGTGTCAGTTCTGTATTTTGCTCCCTTGGTATAAAATAAAGACTCTTGCTAGGTCTGAAATTTCTGAAATCTCTGTTTCTTTTAAATTACTCTCTCTTTTTCCTCCTTTTAAAGCATTCTCTTATATTTATTTTGTTCTTCTGGGTCTGAAACCCAAGGCATTGTGTTTGTTAGGGAAGCACTCTGTCACAGAACTACATTCCTAATTTAGTCTCAGGTATTCTGTTAGCACAAAAAGTAAGAGAGTGGAAAACACATCTTCATTACAGACTGAAAAGAACTGAACATTTTCAGGAATTTTGTTTGCTTTTCTGTTTCTGATGATAGTAGGTTTGCTATTTCTAGTGTTTGAATTTGGAATTTACAAGTACAGAATGATAGCAATCATTTTCATTTCTTCTAAACTAATACTTAGAGTTTTAGGGAAATAGGTAGTAGAATACGTTTGAATATTGTATTGATGTCTCTATTTCTTTAGCCTAATTGTGATTTGAAGAGTCAACTGACAGTTTTTCACAGGTCATGGAGCAGTGGTTTTCAGCCTTCCTAATGCTGCAACCCTTTAATACAGTTCCTCATGTTGTGGTGTCCCCAACCATAAAATTATTTCTATTTTATAACTGTAATTTTGCTAGTGTTATCATAATGTAAATATCTGCTATGCAGGATCAGGATTTCTATTATGTGACTCCCAAAAAAGGGCCGTGATCCCCCGGTTGAGAACCACTGATACAGAGCTACTTTAATTGCTCAGTTAGAATCTTTCGAGACAGGGTCTCAGTATATAGATCAGAATTCACAGCAGTCTGCCTCCCTGTTCCACCTGACTGCTAAGGTTTTTTTGAAGTTGTATTCCACATTGCTCAGCTTTCTTTTTTAATATAAATCTTGTCATTTATTTTTATTATAGATTCTACAGAAACATTGCTTCATTCAACACCTAAAAAGAAAGACATTCATAGTCAGTCATCAGGCAAAGAGGTAAGTCAAATAGGAGAACTGCTGTAGGTTTGTTGCTTTTAAACAGTATTCTTATGTACATTTTACTTGTCTTATTTAAAGAGAATCCTATGGTTCTATTGAATTTCATAAAATTTGGAGGTATTATAAAATTTTGGTTTGCTTATTTCTAGTGTTTGAAATTGGGAATTACAAGTACAAAATTATAACAATCGTTTTCATTTTAACTAATATTTAGAGTGTTAGGGAATGGATAACTTTAAAAGTTCCTGATGAGACTGACAAGCTTGGTTGTTTTCTAAAGACTTGTTGCTGTCCAAAAAAACTATTTTTGTTTGATGATGTGCCTTAAAAGAATAGGTTGATTTGTTATCCAAAACTATTATATTTTCTGTTAGAATTATTTTCCTCCAAGTACTGTGTTTGAACCCAGGCCTCACACATGTCAAACACAGGGCTGGATCACTGAACCACACTCTGAGTTATAAAGTTTTTGAAGTTAGTGATCTAAGACATACTATTTGGGAGGATAGTACTAATGGGAAAGGTAATATAATTGTAGAAGGAAAGTTTGCTAAAACTGATAACATTGTGTTCTACTACAAGCAGACTTGGAACTTAACTATACTGCCTAGGCTGGCCTTGAGTTCACTATCCTGATTGCTAGTCTATAGGTAGGCTTTGGTTAAAGGAATGCAGACAGCCACATCTCAGATTTTGAGAGACTTTTTATAATAAGAGAAATTATATTGATCTTTGAAAAGTAAAGTCAACTTTAAATTTCCTGGGAACTTGACTTGATCTTACTTATTTTTTATATTAATCACAGGTTATTTACTTTGTATCCCAGCCATAGCCCTCTCCCTCATTCCCTCCCAATTCCACCCTTCCTCCCTCATCTTCTCCCTGCCTCTTTCCAAGTCCACTAATAGGGGAGGACCTCCTCTCCTTCCATTTGACCCTAGTTTATCAGGTCTCTTCAGGACTGGCTGCAATGTCCTCTTCTGTGGCCTAGCAAGGCTGCTCCTCCCTCGGGGGGGGGGGGGGATGGTGGAAGAGCTTGCCATTGAGTTCATGTCAGAAATAGTCCGTGTTCCCCTTATTAGAGAACCCATTTGGATACTGAGCTACTATGGAATATACCCGAGCAGGGGTTCTAGGTTATATCCATACATGGTCCTAGGTTGGAGAAACAGTCTCATGAAAGACCCCTGTGCCCTGATATATTTGGTCCTTGTGGAGCTCCTGTCCTCTCCAGGTCTTACTAACTCCCCCTTCTTTCATATGATTTCCTGCACTCTGCCGAAAGTTTGGTTATGAGTCTTAATATTTGCTTTGATACATTGCTAGGTAGAGTCTTTCAGAGGCCCTCTGTGGTAGGCTCCTGTCCTGTTACTTGTTTGCTCCTACATCCAATGTCCATCCCATTTTTCTTTCTAAGTGAGGATTGGTCATCTTACCCCGAGTCCTCTTTCTTGTTTATCTTCTTTAGGTGTATAGATTTCAGTATATTTATCCTATCTTATAGGTCTGTATAAGTGAGTATATATCATGTGTGTGTTTTTCTGCTTTTGGGATACCTCACTTAGGATGATCGTTTCTAGGTCCCACCATTTGCCTGCAAATTTCATGATCTCCTCATTTTTAATTGCTGAGTAGTATTCCATTGTGTAAAAGTACCACAATTTCTGTATCCATTCCTCAACTGAGGGACATCTCGGTTGTTTCCAGGTTCTGGCTATTACGAATAAAGCTGCTACAAACATGGTTGAGCAAATGTCCTTTTTGTGTACTTGAGCATCTTTTGGATATATGCCTAGGAGTGGTATAGCTGGATCTTGAGGAAGCATTATTCCTAATTGTCTGAGAAAGCCCAGATTGATTTCCAAAGTGCCTGTACAATTTGCATTCCCAACAGCAATGGAGGAAGGTTCCCCTTTCTCGACATCCTCTCCAGCATGTGTTGTCACTTGAGTTTTTGATCTTAGCCATTCTGATGTGTGTAAGGTGAAATCTCAGGGTTGTTTTGATTTGCATCTCCTTGATGGCTAAGGACGTTGAGCATTTCTTTAAGTGTTTTTCTGCCATTCTACAATCCTCTACAGAGAGTTCTCTGTTTAACTCCGTGCCCCGTTTTTTTAATTGGATTACTTGATTTGTTGCTTTTTAACTTCTTGAGTTCTTTATATATACTGGATATTAGCCCTCTGTCAGATGTTGGGTTGGTGAAGATAGCCCTCTGTCAGATGTTGGGTTGGTGAAGATCCTTTCCCAGTCTGTAGGCTGTCATTTTGTTTTGATGACAGTGTCTTTTGCTTTACAGAAGCTTTTCAGTTTCATGAGGTCCCATTTATTTATTGGGTCTTAGATTTAATTCTATTGATCTTCCAGTCTGTTTCTATGCCAATACCATGCAGTTTTTATTATTGTTGTTCTGTAGTATAGGTTGAGATCAAGGATGGAGATACCTCTAGAAGATTATTATATAGTATTGTTTTAGCTATTCTGGGTTTTTTGTTTTTTCCATATGAAATTGAGAATAGCTAAAACAATCCTGTATAATAATCTTCTGGAGGTATTTCCATCACTGATCTCTTTGTAATGTAGATTTAGTGTTTTGATTATGTGGCAGGATGAGTTTCTTTTCTGGTCTAGTCTATTTGTTGTTCTGTAGGCCTCTTGTATGTTTATGGGCATCTCTTTCTTAAGGTTGGGGAATTTTTTTTCAATGATGTTCTCGAAAATATTTTCTGGGCTGTAGAGCCTGGAATCTTTTTCATCTATTCCTGTTATTCTTAGTTTTTGTCCTGTCATGGTGTTCTTGCTTTCTTGGATGTTTTGTATTTGGAATTTTCCAATTTTATTTTTTCTTTGAGAGATGTATCAATTTCAGCAATTGTATCTTCAGCTCCTGAGATTCTCTTTTCCATCTTTTGTATTCTGTTGGTGATGTTTACCTTTGTGGTTCCTGATCTCTAAGTTCTCCCACTCCAGGATTTTCTCTGTTTCTGTTTTCTTTTTTGATTCTAATTCTGTTTTCATATCTTGCACCATTTACTTCATCTGTTTGAATGTGAATTCCTGTTTGTTCATGATGGCTTCTATTTTTTTATTCATTACCTCTTTATGTGCCTTGAACAATGCATAATTATAGATTTCAGATCATTTCCTTGTGTTTCAGCTGCAATAGAATATCCGTTGAGTTTTGGAGACTCTGGTGAAGCAGTGATGTCCTTGTTTTTGTTGCTTGTATTCTTACACCAGCCTTTAGCCATCTGGTTGTCTGCAGCCTTGAGTGATTATTCTTGGAGCCTGTACTGCAGACTGCATTCTGTACAAACAGAGATTCCCTGTCTCTGTAGTCTTGAGAAGTCTCCCCTGGATTCACTGTCTCTGCTGGCTCACTGTTTTTTACCCAGGTAGCTGGGGCACAGGTGGAAAAGTCTAGAGCTGCTCCAGTGTCCCACAGGCTTCCTTAAGATGGTGGAAGATGGGATTTGGGTCCTAGCTCGGCTCTGCTAGGTTCACTGGCTGTGCTGGCTGTGTTGTTTCTGACCCAGGTGGGCTAGGCTGCTGGGGAGCAGGCAGGGAGATCTCTGAGCCTAGAGGTGCTCCAGTGCCCCACAGGCCTTCTTCTGGAGGAGGACAATGGAACTTGGGTCAGTTTCCTAGCTCAGCTCCACTGAGTTCTCTGTCTATGCTGGGCTCACTGTTTCTGGCCTCTATGAGCCAGGCTGCTAGAGCAGTTCCAGTGTCCCACAGGCTTCTCTTAGATGGTGGTGATGGAACCTGCGTCCCAGGCCAAGTTTAGCTCTACTGTGTTCACTATCTGTGCTGTGCTGCCTGATTCTGACCTTGATGATCTAGTCAGGTGGGGAGCAGGCAGAATGGAGCCAAGCCTCCCCCACAGTACCAGAATGTATCCTCTCCACTGGGTGGTGAGAGTGAGCGCCACTAGCAGCACCACCAGGAAGGTGTCCACAGCATGTTGAGTTTGGTTTCCTGGGTTTGGAAACATGAGCCTCTAGTACCCAATAGGTGTCCACAGGACTGTGAGAGTGGGCGCCCAGGTTTGGAGTTTCACCCACAGTACAGGAAGGTATTCACTCCACAGGCAGTGAACGCCCAAGGTCTGAGCCTACAGGCGCTGGTCTCAGGAAGATAACCACAGAAAGTGGGCTTGGGTGGCAGGTGGCCTAAGGCTGAGGGGTCAGAACCACGTGCGCTGCAGCTGCCTGTCCCAGGAAGGTATCCATAGATGGTGGTTTGGGTGGGTGCCCTAGGGCTGTGACAGTGTTGGGTGGGAGCCCGGGAATTTTCCCTGGTATTAGCCTGGTGGCCTGAAGATGGACCTTTGAGTATCCCCATGGATTTTCCTCTCACCTGAGAAACACAGATGTCAGGGTTTTGGGGTCCACAGTACAGCCCGCCAGTCACCCTGCTCTTACTCCTGAGCTTCTTTTCAAATACTCGGAAAGGTCTGTGCTACCATCTTCAGGTCTTAACTTTTGAATTTCTTTTTCTGGGTAGAATAAAATATAAGAGTCCAGCAATGTCTTACTGCAAACAAATTATAGATTTAGAGTTTTGGAGTATATAATCTGCAACTAATTTTCTTCACTCAAGGAGAAAAAAGTTTCTTATATGTCTCCTGACTTAGGGAGGTTTTCTTCTCTAGCTAGTAGATACAGGTATTAAATCTATCTTCTGTTTTGCTGAGCGGACTGTTCTCCACAGGCTTGGATCATTCAGTTTTTGTTTTTTTTTTCTGGCCTTGGTATGTATGCATATAATTTTTAATTTGAGACAGTGTCTCACTTGAGCTTGAACTCAAGAGCCTCTTGCCTCAGTTTCCTGAGTACTGGAATTACAGATGTGTGCCATTATGCTTAGTTTTATAAAATTTCTGAGATAGGGTCTCATGTAGCTTAGGCTGACTTTGAACTTGTTGTGTAGCCAAGGATCTTGAATTCCTGATCCTTCTCCCTCCATTTCCTAAGTATTGTGATTATAGTTGTACATCAGCAGGTCTGATTTAAATGTACATTTTGATGAATTTTTTTATAGCCATGTTCTACATAAGATACAGAACATGAAAGACTAAGATTTTATTTATAGGTAGTTATAATAATAGACAGTTGAGTATTTTTTTCATTTTTAAATATATTCACCTAAAGTTGGTGATGTCTTTCTAAAATTTGTTAGTGTTTTCTGGATCTGTAATGATATCATCCTGTATATTCTTGACATTAGTTATTTCTGTTTTAGCATTTTCCTTCATTAGATTGGCGGGACTTTGGTCTTTTTGGAAAAGGAAGTTAGCTTAGTTGATTCTGTTTTACAATTGTTATTAGTCTTAATATTTTTTATGTATATATGTATTGTTTTCTTCTCTAAAAGATATTTCAGAACAGTAGAGATTTTCTATGTATTAGATGGGGATTTTCTAATAATCTACAAAGTTTGCTGCGGTCTTCTTATTTCCAAAGTAGGTTTAGATAGCTCAGTGGCTTAGAGCTGTTCTTCCCAGAGGATTTAAGTTAAGTCTCAGCACCCATGTTAGCTTCCAGCTGCTTAGCTGAAGCTCCAGGGAATCTGACACCCTTTTTTGGCCTCCATACTATCAGCACACACACATGTAAGTAAAGATAAAATGTTAATTTTTTTGTTATTTTTAATTATATATATAATTTATGTGAGTACAGATTCCTGAAGAGGTCAGAGATAATGGTTCCTCTTGGGGCTAGAGTTCCAAGGAGTTGTGTCATCTGATGTAGGTACCTGAGACTCAAACTTGGGTCTTTTGGAAAAGTAGTGCATGCTCTTGCTCTTCACTACTGAGCCATTTCTCTAGCCCAATAAAATAAATCTTATTTAGAAATGAATTTGTTCATTTGACTAAAAATGGAGTTTTATTACAGCTGTACAGGTAGGACAGGTAGCCAGGTTCATAAGGGGAGAGGACATCAAGTCTAGAGACATCGATGTGCCGGCTACTGTGCTGTGTAAGGAACCATGAATGCTAGCTCTGAAGAATAATATGTATACACACTCAGGTACCCATCACTCAGTGTACCATCAGTGAAAGACAGTCATGCATGTCATTTCTCTTAAGGAAAGCCTTTTGAAACTAAGTCTGTTTTTATTGTACTCTGCTTCCATGGATATCACCTGTCCATCAAATATAATACCAGAAGGAAAACAAAATGAATGTTCACTAAAAATCATGTTTTGTAAATTAGTAGAAAGGCTGTCGTGAGGCTCCACCTTGTCACTTGTTAAAGAAGTATTATAAAAACAAGTTTGCAGATTCCTGGAAATGATTAGCCCTTTAAGAGAGCCCTTTACACGATTAGGTACGCTGTGTTAACGCTTTGTTAAATAGAGTGAATTCCTAAGTATTCCTGTTTTCTTTTCACTTTTTTCCCCGTATTTCTTGTGTGGTGTTTGCCTGCATGTATGTCTGTATGAGGTGTCAGATCTTTCACAACTAGAGTTACTAACAGTTGTGAGCTGCCCTGTGGATTCTGGGAATTGAACTTGGGTCCTCTGGAAAAGCAGTTGTTGCTCTTAATTGCTGAGCCACCTCTCCAGCCCACTCTTTTACCTTTTTTTAAACTTTAGCTTAATGACACCATTTTGTATTTCTATAAAGTTGCTTTTTGGTTAATACAATCATTTGTGTTAACGCAGTTGTAACTGTTAGAGATATTAGTGTTCCATAGTTTGTTTATTCTCTCTCTGTTCAATAGTAGTTCAGCTGCTTTGTTGTTTAAAAATTTCCCCCCAATTTTAAAAGCATGCATATAATCAGAATTATAATAATTCCAATAAAATAAAAGTAGATCAAATCTATTTCTTCTGTGATCAATGCCAGGCATCACATTCAAAATCAGTTCCGGTTTCTTCAAGGTGGAAAGAAGCTTCGCTGCAAGTTTCTGCAGAACCCAGTGAAGCTGCTGGTGGATCAGGTTGGTAGTCACGACATTTGTAAACCTGAATGACCCTTGGTTGATTCATCAGTTTCTGCAGGCCCCCTGTGCCCAGATTCTTTGCCTTTGTTGCTGTCCTTGTGGAGCTGCTGTCCTCTCCAGGTCTTACTATCTCCTACTTCTTTCGTAAGATTCTCTGCCCAAAGTTTGGTTATGAGTTTCAGTATATACTTTGATACCCTGGGGAGGAGGACCTCCGTTATTGGTGGACTAGGGGAGGGATGGCAGGGGGTGGGGGAGAAGGAGGAAAGATGGGACTGGGAGGAGATGAGGGAGGGCCCTAGAGCTGGGATACAAAGTGAATAAATTGTAATTGATAATAACAATAAATTTAAAAAATGCTGAATGATAAAGGTGGTGTGGTACATGCATTGTGTAAGGTGAAAAGGTGAGAGTCAGACTAGGTTTGGTTGATCATGGTTAGGGTTTATTTTTTTCTCCCCCTTTCCTTTTGCTATTTCTTTTACTTTGTGATAGGGGCTTTTACTTTGTGATAGGTGCACTGCTACTTTTTTTTTTTTTTTAAACATTTTCTTTATCTTTGCTTCAAATGAAAAGAATACTATTCTGTTTGAGCTAATAGACTCAAAGACTTAAATGAAAAATTTAACAATTGCTTTCAACATTTTGTTGTGGGAACTCTTGACTCTTTTGTACCTTCATTGGTGCTCATAAATTTAAGAATTATAAGGATGTGTATGACATGGTTGTCCTTTGTGTCATGTCTGTTTATGTTTAAAATGTAAATATATATTTAAATTATTTATTTATTTTTGTTTATATGTGTATGTGTGCACTGTGATTGCAGGCCATAGCATGCATGTGGAGGTCAGAGGGTTACTTTGTGGAGGTGTTTCTCTCCTTCCACATTCACATGGGTTCTGAGGATTGAACTCAGGTTGTCAGGCTTGTTTGGTAAGCACCCTAAGTCACTGAGCCATCTTGCCTGTCCTGAAATGATGATGATGATGGTGATGATTTTTGAGATAGAATCTTATTATGTAGCTCTGAACTCACTGTGGAGACCAGGCTGGCCTCTAAATCAGTGATCAATGTGCTTCTTCTTGCCAGGTCCTAGGATTAAAGATGTATGCCACCGTGATATCTGAAATTATATTTTAACCATGCAACGTAACGCTTATTTTATTGTAGAATGTATGACTCTCAACTCTTAAGTTACTTACTTTCCTATTTTGATTAAACAGATTTTTCCTAGTAGTAAATATACAAAATAAGATATTAATATTATTATCTTTTGGAGAGCATACTTCATCTGAAATGGGTTTTATATGTAAAGCAATATAATATTTCATGTTTGTTTTATCAGATATATTCATTTATTAATCATTCTCTTCTGAATTAGTCTTGTTATTGAATTTCAGTCAAATTTAATGCACTTATCAACTTTGACCTCATTTGTTTATTTTTAAACTATATCAACATAGTGTTACACTCTACATTTATGGTATGTATGATTAAAGCTAATATTTTCATTTATGTACCTGCAATTCACAAAATTTTTCTTTTTATTCAGTTCCCGGTAACTGTTAAAATTCTAACTAGAATGGGCTTTATATAGTAATTTTTTGAGAATCATCATTTATGTTTCTGTCCTCTACTCTATATGTATCTACAATATATATGTATATGTATGACTACTACAATATATATGTATATGCATGATATATATACATGTATACACACATGTAAATATATATTTATATATGTATAAATAAATGCTAAAGTTTGCTAGAGATGTAGAAGTTTAAAGGGCACAACCTAGCATTTTGCTGTACAGGCAGAACAGAGGCCCCATGGCCCACGTTATAGAGCAAGGGTTGAAGTTTTTCATCTGTGTTCTTACTGAGAGGATGTAGGTTCATTCCTTCCCTTGTAGTCTTGGTTCTGGGCTGCAGACCTCTCAGGTGCCAGGGATAAATGGGAGATGAAAGGAAGCCCAAGAGACCACATTGTGAATGTACCTTAAATCTTCAGTTTTCTAGGTAGTTTCCCTACTCTCTCAGGTTTATTGTTATTATTGTTATTGATTGATGGATGGTTTTTAATGAATTTAGTTGCATTAAGAGGGAAAAGCAGGGGAATGTCCTTTTGTTTAATTTTTTAAAGATTTATTTATTTATTATGTATATAGTGTTCCGCCTGCATGTACATCTGCATGCCAGAAAAGAGCACGTCTTCATATTTTAGCTGTGTACAAATTTAAATTTCAGGACTTTGGGCATAAATTTTGAAGTTTCTGTGTTTGAGGATTTCTGTCTTTCCATAACCTCAGATAGTATGGACCAAGCTCATTAATTTGGTAAATCAGAACTCTTAAAGTACTTAGGTATTTTAATCATAGGCCTTTGAGTCTAAACTTTATGAACTTCGTGTCTTCTGAACATTTTTAATTGTTATGGTTGTGTTTTAAAAGAACATTTGATTTAAATAGTGTTTTAAGCTACTGAGAACTATCATCATATAATATTTTCTTAGTGCAGGCTAATGGAGTTCATCACACAATTCTACCTACTGATGTTGTTTCTAAAAGTACACCGGACTCAAACAAAGTGTCAAGTGAAAAAACAAATGGTCGCCACAGTGCTCCTGATGATGACTTTTACTTATCTGTTGGCCCCCTTGAGGTTCTCTCGGATGCAAGAACATCTGTGTTGCAGAATGTTACTTCATCAGTTGGCCAAAAGAGAGCGAATTCTGTCTTAAATTCAGTAGATATGCAGTCTTCAAATACAGGCGTTTCTGTTAAAATCAGGAAAAGGTAATTTTTTATCTAAGTAGTAATAGTTATGTTTATTTTTTCCTTATACAACAAATGTTAATTTAGCTTTTTATGTAGATTTGAAACGAGGTTAAGGGAAAATGTGAGAAAAACCAATGCTTTTTGCTTAGCTTTAGTTTTTAGTTGGTAGTAAGGAAAACATTAAAATACTTTAGAGAAATTTTGAGATTAACTTTTTTATAGTCTATGAAAAACTGTTTTTTGTTTGTTTGTTTGTTTTTTGTGGCTTAGCAATTTAAGGCACAAGGTGTGCAAGTCTGGTATACCAGACTTCAATTTCTGGAAAACAAATAAAGTTTAAATGAGACATCTGACTCCACAAAATTGTCCTATAACTTCCATGTGTGTTTATCTTTATATATCGTATATTTTGTATATATCATTGTATATTGTTCATATTCTCTTCACCCCATTATCTTTAATTTCTTGAAAGAAACAGTTTATATTTCCTACATATTATTTGTGCTTAGGGTGAGTATTAAGAATCTTTCTAGAACAGCAAAGTGTTATTGAGTTATAAACATCATTCCATTTCTTGGAGTTTTCCTTTTTGCTGTTAGGATCCTAAAAATAGGTTTTAAGATTCTTTGTAATTTGGAGACCTTTGTAATGACCATAATTTACCTTATAGGAAAATTTGGCTTACCTTTTTAACCTTTCAGGCTAACCTTTGACGATAAAGTTGTTTTGGACAAAGCAGAAATAGAGAACGATGTGGCAAAAGTAGAGGATAAAATATCAGAAGGCCAAGAAGGGACATCATCAGAAATATCTCAGAAAAGAGACTCTTTGAACTATGAAACTCAACCACAATCTAAGAAGAGTTTTTCTAAGTTGTATTTAGAAACTGTCAAGAGGAAGAGTGAATCCAGGTAAAGTTATTATGAAACTGTCCTTTTGGACATTTCTTCTGTCTCTAGTAAAACTATATCTGGTGGTTCCTAATGTTATTTAATATAGAATATCTTTAAATTTTTTATTGAAATGTAAAATTTTTATTAATGTTTCTACAATGTGTTTTAATCATTTGTACTACTCAGTTGATCTCCATTTATACAACACCCCAAACTCTTCCTAGATCCACACTCTCTCTTCCCTTCCCTTGCAGCTTTGTGGCCTCCCTTTTTCTTAACACCTGTCAAGTCACTTTTGTGCTGCTCATATATTCTTGGATTTGTGATCTTCCACAGCATGGTTGAGTTACTAGGGCTACATTCTTAAAGAAAACCAATCTTCCTATGCCAGCAGCTGTCAGTTGTGAGTAGCTTGTTGGTTAGGGGTGGGACTTTGTGTCTACCATGGCTGGCATGAGTTTGCACAGGTCTTAGGTATACTGTCAAAACCACTATGAGTTTTATACGTACAGCTGCCCTGTTATAAAAGACACTGTTTCTTTGTAGGTCATCTACACCTCTCCCCCACAGTGATGCCTCCATCATTTGATCACTTGAGAGGAGGGGATGTGATACAGAGATTCCAGTTAGGACCAGACACTCCACAGTCTTTAATTCTCTGTATTTGGACCAGTTGTAGGTCTCTCTCGTTCTCTCTCTCTTTTTTTTTCTGCTACAAATACTAGCTTCTCTGATGAAGGTTGAAAGATGTATTAATGCATGGGCATAATGAAAATCCAGTAGGACTCAGTTTAATACTGTGTCCATTTAGAGAATAAGAATAGCAGGTTGTCCCCTGGAGCCATGACTTGTGTAGCCACAGGTTTTTGACCCCAGGTATGGGTTTCATCTTGTAGAGTGGAAACTAAATCCAATAAGAAAGCAGTTGGTTACTTTATGATACTCATGTCATGACTGTACCAGTGAGCCTGTCTTGAGGCCAGTCATTATTGTAACTCACAGGATTCACAGGTAGCTAAGATTGCTGATTACTGTTCTCTTCTGGTAGTGTCCATATTCCAGGACTAAGAAAGCTAGCCAATAGGGATGAAGCTTCCAGTAAGTAATAGCTTGATATCTCACATTTTATGACTCGTATATATGGTGTCTTCAGCAGCAGGTCTTAATGTTTAACTTCTGAAGGATACCCAATAGCATTGACAGTAGTCTGTAATGCTTGGGAGTCTAGGAACTAAGTGGCCAACAGCTGCAAAAAGAAGCAACCCATTCTTGCCACTTAGAGGCATTGTTGCCCTCTTATAAGGTAACTCTAAATCTCATAATTTGACTCTCTCTCTCTCTTTCTCTCTCTCTCTTTCTCTCTCTCTCTCTCTGTGTGTGTGTGATATCCCTTGAATATATAAAAATCTCATACTGAACAGTTAGTTCTGAGTTGTAAGAGGATTTATTTTTATATCTGTCTTTTATGCCTTTGCCCACAAGTTCAACAAAATACACAGAAATGCTACTATTTCAGTTTTCTTAATGGCTGAATATCAAATTGTTCAGGTATACCACCTTATCATTACACATTTATCAGTTGGTTGACATCTAGGATGTTTCCATTTCTTAGCTATTATGAATTGCACAATTTCACCTGAAGTGGCACAGTATGATGTTGTGCCTCTTAATCATGACATCAGTTCTGAAAACTAACAAAGTAGAACCTCAGTCCTGTGCCATTACTCCTGGCTATGATACAGTACGTCATTGAATATGGATGAGTAGGTGTCTCTATAATAGGGTAAAGAGTCCATTGGATATATACTTGAATGGTATGGTTGAGTCACTTTGTAGATCTGTTTCTAACTTAGAGTCACCACCCTGATTCCTGTAGTGGCTATTCTAATTTGTACTTCGCTACGAGTGAATGAGTGTCCTCACTTTCTCACGTTCATGCCAATATTCAATTTCTTTCTATATCTTAGTCATCTGTTCAGCAAAAGATGAAATCTCAGAGTTTTAATATGTGTATCTCTGATGGCTAAAGATGTCCTAAAATAAAATTTAATGTGTTCTACCAACTTAGAACTTGATTTACTGAATAATTTGCATATAAGGAATCTTAGGCCTGGTGACACCTAAAATTAACGGCAGCTAGAGTTGAGAACTACTGCTTACTCTGTTGGAATACATCAGATGCCTTTTTCTCTTCCCAGTATTTATTTCTTCCATTCTACTATTGCTTCTATTGTGAATAAAAATAAGTTGTTTTTCTTAAAAGGTTAAAAGAGGAATGAATGTATATACTAGCTTTAGAGTCTGGAAATTAATTCTTTTATTTTTGCATATCTCATTGCATTGTATGGTTTGCTTAAGACTGGTATAGAAAACAGCAGTGAAAAATGAGTCTGTCTAATCCTTTGAATAATTACATTTTACCTTTCCAACTAATTGGACAAAGTGCTAGTTAATCCTATTGTACTAGTCTTACTTTTTCACTGTGTCACTATAAATGCTGTGAATTTTGTTCTAGTTAGGGTTTCTTCTGCCCTGTTAAAGACCATGATTAAAAGAAACATGAGGAGGAAAGTGTTTCTTTTAGCTTACAATTCTCATGTCACACTCCTGGCACCAAGGGAAGTTAGGACTGGAACTCATGGCAGGACCCTGGAGGCAAGAACTGGAACAGAGGCCATGAAGAAGTGCTGCTTATTGGGTTGCTTCCTATTGCTTGCTCAGCGTGCTTCTTAGACCATCAAGGACTAACTGTCTAGGGGTGGCACTGCTCACATCAATCACTTACTAGGCCCACCCACATAAATCACTAAGAAAATTGCCCACAGGCTTGCCTACAGACCAGTCTTATGGAGTCATTTTTCTCAGTTTTGGTTCCCTGTTCTCTCTCAAACAACACTAGCTTGTGTCAAGTTGACAACCAAACCAAAAGAAAACAAAACATAAAAAAAAAACCTCAAAAATCAATCAGAACCAAAACCCTTTGAGACATAAACACATAACTTTTAAGCCACAACCTTTTTTGTTCATTTGATCCCAAGATGCTGTTAATATCTGTATTTTTCATATAACATACATTTGAAACTGTAAAACTCCACAGTCTTACATATTTAAAGTCAGTATTTGAAGAAACTATCATTTATTTATTACAGTTTTTTCACTTTGTATCCCCGCTGTGACCCTCTCCCTCTTCTCCCAATCCCTTCCTCTTCTCCTGCTATGCCCTTTCCCTAGTCCACTGATAGGTGAGGTCTTCCTCACCTTCTGTTTCACCCTAGCCCATCAGGTCTCATCAGGACTGGCTACATTGTCTTCCTCTGTGGCCTAGCAAGGCTGCACCTCCAGGGGGAGGTGATCAGAGAGCCTGCCACTGAGTTCATGCCCCTTACTAGGGAAAGTCCCTGCTTCCCTTACTAGGACCTCCACTTGGAGACTGAGTCTATGAGCTCCATCTGACCTGGGGTTTTAGGTCCTCTCCATGCATTGTCCTTGGTTGGGGTATCAGTCGCTGCAGGGACCCCAGGGCCCTGTTTTTTTTTTTTTTTTTTTTTTTCTGTTCTTTTGGAGCTCCTATTTCCTCCAGGTCTTTTCTATCTCCCCCTTCTTTTCTTTCATAAGATTCCCTGCACTCTGCCCAAAGTTTGGCTATGAGTCTCAGCCTCTGCTTTGATTCCTTGATTAGTAGAGTCTTTCAGAGGCCATCTGTGCCAGGCTCCTGTCTTGTTACCTGTCTTCTTCTCCTTCTGATGTCTATTGCATTTGCCCTTCTGAATGAGGATTGAGGATCAAAACATTAAAACAAAAGTCTGTGTCAAAGTTCAAAGCCTCTCCTAAAAATACAAGTGGTCCCTATAATATTCAGTCTTTTAAAATCTAGGCTTTTAAAGTCTTTTAACTATGGGTGCCTGTATTTTTGTAGTTGTTGTTGTTGTTTGTTTTTAAGAAAAGTTAAATACTTTAAAATTCCAAAAGAGAAGAACCAGGGCAAAGTCACAAATGAAACCAAAACAAAGTCCAAATATTGTGCAGTTCAGTGTCAAACTTCTGGGAATCACAATCTCCTAGGCCCCAAAATAGCTTGTCATAGCATACATTGCACATCTCATAGGCTCGGGTTGCCTCTACTGTATAGGTGTTGCTGTTTTTGATTGTCATCTCATGCTGCTATCATCTTCAAAATGCTGGAGTCTTCACTGCATTGAACTGTACCTTCACCAGTAGCCTCACCTGAGCCATCTTCAGGGACTCTAACCCTGTCACGTGATGCTAAGTTTCAACTTTTCTCCATGAAGCTTTTATGTTTTTGATACCAGTTACACTTAGGACACTCTTACACAAGTTTGGCTGCTAGCACAAGATATAACCTGATCACCTTTGGAACACAGCTTCTGTGTATTGACTCTGAGGAAACACTTTCCAGAAGGTTTTGCCTCAGTGATGGTAATCTCAGCCACAGCTTATTCTTCACCCCCAGTTTATCAGTATAGGTTGTCCCAGCAAAGCAAAAGTTTCACTTTAATGTTGTTAGTTATTGATTCTTTAGCTCCAGCTGACCAGAACCACAAATTCTTAATTCAAATTTCAAATGTTCCCAAAAGAATCTATAAGGGACTCTCACAACTTTCTTCAGAAATTTTTACAAGTTAGGTCCCTATCTTTTGCATTGCTCTCAACATTATCTTTCAAGGCCCCACAGAAGAGCCTACTGAACTCTAAGCACTCAGTGGCTTTGCAAGTCTAAAGGTCAAACGATAACACAAATCCCACAATCATGTGGTCAGGCATGTCACAGTAACATTCCATGACCTGTTATCAATCTCTTGTTTTAGGTAGGGTTTCTTTTTTTTTTTTTTTTTAATATTTTTTTATTTATTATGTACACAATGTTGTGCCTGCATGTACACCTGCATGACAGAAGAGGCCACCAGATCTCGTAGATGGTTGTGAGCCACCATGTATTTTCTGGGAACTGAACTCAGGACCTGAAGGAGCAGTCAGTGCTCTTAACCTCTGAGCCATCTCTCCAGCCCTTAGGTAGGGTTTCTATTGCGGGGTAAAATACCATGCCGAAGAGCAACTTGGGGAGGAAAGGGTTTATTTCAGTTTCCATTCACCAAAGTTTGGCTATAGTCCGTCATAAAGGGAATCGAGACAGTAACCAGAGCAGAGGCCATGGAGGAGTGCTGCTTATTATTAGCTTATTCCATGATGGCTTGCTCAGCTTGCTTCTTAGACCATCTAGAACCACCTGCCTCGTTGTGGCACTGCTTACAATGGGATGGACCCTCCCATATCAATCACTTATTAAGGAAATGCTCCACTGGCTTGCCAGTCTTATAGAGGCATTTTCTCATTTGTGTTTCCTTATTGGATAACAGTAGATGTGCCAAGTTGACAAGCAAAAACAAAACAACAACCACAAAAAAAACACCATAAAATAAACAAACAAAAATCAGCCAGGGTAATCACTAAATGTGAATTGCGTAAGACATACAAATTTGTGTTTTTTTTGAGTATTTTAGCAAATATTTCCAGATTATAAACTGATTAGAGTTAAAACTGTCATTTTGTAACTCTTGAGTATATGCATGTATAATAGTGCTTCTTTAGTAAAATTAATTTAGGGTTAGAGATATGGGGAAAAAGAGCTACACAGGATAGTATTATTTAACCTCATGAAAATAGATCGTGTGGCATTATCTGCTTTGTAATAAGAATCATCTTTTCTTGTTTTTATAGCTTGATCTTTCTTGTGCCTGTGGTACATTAGTCAGTTCTGAACCATTGTTATAATATCGAACTATGAAAATAAGCATAAGATTTGGAACTTAAGATCAAATTTTGTAATTTATTTTTTTCCAAGACAGGGTTTCCTTGTGTAACCATGGTTGTCCTGGACTCACTTTGTAAACCAGGCTGGCCTTGAATTCACAGACATCTGTCTGCCTCTGCTTCCTTCAGTGCTGGGATTAAAGATGTACACCACCATGCTTGGTTCAAATTCTGTATATTACAGTTCATTTATATGAATAATTATACATTTCTTTCATTTGACATCTGTCCATTTGCTATTATGAGTAGAGTTCTGTCAGATATAAAAAATGATAAGAAACCATTCAAGATCAGTTGTGTTATTGTTCTAAAATATTAGATATGGTGGTTTATATTTAATTTTGTTATGTTTTAAATCTGAAGATATGCAGGCATCTGTATAAAAAGTTTAATCAAACATATAGATATGGGATGATTTCCTATTGTAAGCAAATACATTTGGGTTATAAATGTACAGTTGTGAATTTCAAGATTTTAGTGTGTGTGTTTATTGAAGGGCATTAGAGTGGATGCCCAGCTTTAAAGTTCTCTGCTCTTAGTAGTATAATTGAGGGAAGGTTAAGAGAAAATTGAGGAGACATGAGAACTGCTCTTTTAAAAAAACAGATAAAGATTTTATTTCCTGTATGGAATACTTTATTCACTAAACAAAGATGAAACTTCAGTTACTTTAGCTATTAAAATTATGTTTTATTTCAGTTTCATTGTTAGGCATGCATCAGCAGTTCCACCTCTCTCATTTCCTCCAAGTGACATGAAATTATTAGAAGATGAATTCATTATTGATGAGACAGAAAGAAGTTTTCAAAGTAAACCTTGGGTGATGATACCAAGGAAAGGCAGACATCTGAAAAGCCAAGTGCAGTCTCCTGAAAACATGTCAACTCCTCAAAATAAGAAGTCAAGCGAGAAACCTCATAGCATGTCAGCTGAGACTTTGATAAATGACACACAGTCTCATAAGGCTCCCCCAGTGGAGAAATGTCAGCTTTCTGTTGAAGAAAGCCTGGGAACTAGTTGTTCAAATGAGTTGGAAAATGATCGTAGGTCTACAGAAAAGAAAATGCATTCTGAGAATGCCAAAAAAACATCTCGAAGGAAAAGGACTATAAAACAGAAGCAGAGAAGAGTATCTACATCTACGGTAGTTGAAGAGCAGCTTAATATGGGACAAGGTATAAATGAAAGTAGGAATATGTCAAATATTGGCCAAGAAAAGTTACAAGGAAATTCAAAAAGAAATATGGAAGCCTGTGAAGAGGTGAGGAATGAGCCTATTCCCAAGAAACATGTGCCACCTGACGGTAAGTATTTATATTAATTCAGAGTATGAGTATTCTTGCATCATTTTATCGTGGTTAGTATTCTTTCACTTTGGGAGGTCGGCAAACTAAAGCTGCCCACAAAGATTTGCAGGCCTTGGGGTTCTTTTTGGGAACCTTTGTGGGTATAGTTCATTGCAGACTCACTTGATTTTTCTTTTTAAATTCCTAATGCATAAACATTGTTATAAATTACCACACATTTAGTAGATTAAACAACCTTTTTTTTTTTTTTTAATCTTATATAGTTTTTTTTTAGGTCAGAAAGTTTACAGAAATTTACAACTGAAATAAAGATTTTTTAGGTATTTGTGTATCTCTGTTCCTTCTGGTGTGTCTATGAGAAGTCTGCTCCTTGCTTTTATCTGTCCTTTTCAGCTACCAATATTCTTAGACCGATGATCCTTCCCCATCATCAAAACTAATAGTGCCTAGTTTCTTCTGTCACTGGTTTCTTGCTGCTTCTGCTGTCATTCCAATTTCCGTCTGATCACAAGTTTTAAGGATATATGGATTGAAACAGTAGGGTTAATCTAAAGTAACCTCATTTCAATGTTTATAATTTAGTCATACTCAATTTTTTCTTCCAAAAGTAGGTTTTAAAACAATTAAAATGAAAGGCAGTAATTTGTTTTATTTTTGAGTAATGGTAAATAGAAAGAAACAATGTTTTGTTTTTCAAAAGATAATCAAACTGGGACGATATCTCAGTACTTGCCTTTTAAGCAGAGTGTGACCTGAGTTTGATCCTCAAAACCCAAGTTAAAAAAGTTATGGCTGTTGTAGTTTCATGCACTTGTAACACCAAGACCAGAGAGGCAGAGATAAGCAGGTATCTGGGACTTCATGATCAGAATAGCCTAACTGGTGAGTTATAGGCAGTAGCTCTCTCAATAAAATAAAAATAAACAAACAAACAAATAAGGAGAAGAAATGGCATTTAAGATTTTCCTATGGTTTACACACATGTGCACTTGTATGTGTATGCCTGTGTGCACACATACATATAAACTCTTAGTTTATGATAAGCATGTGTAATGTGTACATTTAATTGATGGAAAAATCATAAATCTGATTGAAAGTGTGGCTTTTTTAAAGAAATAAGAGGTGAAAGTAGCCCATGGAACAAATGTAAGATGTTTCTGTAATTGAGTTTTATTTGTCTAAAAATCTGTTGTGAACTTCTGAAAACTGATATTTTGAATAGTTGTTATGGTTTTTCTTTATATTAGAAAACAAAAGAAAGAATTACACCCAAGAAGATAAGGAAAAATCTGGAAAGAAATCTTTTTCTCATGGGTCTAAGAACAAATTTATGCCTAAAGAAGTGACTTTGACTGTCAGGAGAAGTTGTAGACTTTCTCAGCATCCACGTGACTGGTGGGTGGTAGAACAAGAAGAAGGTAAGTATTTTTATTTAAATCATCTTTATTGCAAGGTCTCTAGAGTCATTTTCTATGGGATAATGATAGATGTTTAAAAATCTGATGAAGGGAAAAGACATAGAGATGACAGGGATAGATAGGTATGCTTGAGTACCATTTTTGAACAAAATATACTCTATGGGCTGATAGGTTCCTACAAAGAAAGATGATAAACTGAGAAATTTGGAATTTTGGGAAGCACTCAGATCTTAAGGATGATGTCTTTCTGTTGTGCTGATAGAATACTTTGACAAGAGCAACTTAAGAGAGAAAGGATTTATTTTGGCTTACACTTATAGAGGGGTAAGACATGGCATCAGGAGCCTAGCTGCTTATATTGCACCCACACACAGGAAGCAATAACAATGAATGCATTACTACTCAGCACCCTTTCTCCACCTGTATCATCCAGAACACAAGATGGCAGGCAAGGAATGGTGTCACCACATGGGTGTGGGTAGGTCTTCTCACCTTAGTTAACACAGTCAAGATGGCCTGCTGTAGGCATGCAGACCTGTCTCTGAGGGGAGAGTTAGATCCTGTCAAGTTGACAGCACTGACTATTATAAATGGCCAGGCTCTGGACAGAGCCAGAGAGAAGATTGCTTAAGAAAATTTTTGATGGATTTAAAAAGTCTAGTACATGTCTGTAAATATAGTTGAAAAAATTAAAATTTTGTTATGTGGAAACAAATTTAACTCATGAAATTGATACGTGTTTTTATATGTAAATATAATGATGTTGATATCTTTCTGAGCCAGATCATTGGAACAAACGTGCTAATTTTAAATTGTCATCAAATCTTTCAGGTCCTGCTAATAGAAATTCAAGAGAAAATGAATCGCCAGTGGTATATCACAATAGAGAAAAACGAACAAAGAAAAATCACTTATCTAAAAATACTGGGAAAAAACCTGTTCCATCAAAAAGACAGAAGACAGAGAGCAACTCAAGAATACAGAAGTCTGTAAATGTTAAGAGCTCTGGAAGACCAGTTAGTGAAATTTCTACTTCTCAGAGTGAGCCACTAGAAAACAACAGGACATACCCAACTCAGAAGACTATTGATATTTCTGGGTAATTTTTGTTAAATTAATAGTATAGCTTTCTTTCCCCCCCCTCTCCCCCCCTAGTTCAGAAGTTAGTAGTTTATCTGTCTTAGTTAGTAGTCAGAGTGAGAATAAGCATAAAGGACTCTGACAAAGTTGATATTAATTCTGGGCTCTGTTATTAGCTACATGACACTTAGGCACTCTGAAATTGTTTACTTGTTACAAAATTGGGAATGATAGGTATTTAATTGTATTGTATATGTCGTAGACTGTTTAGAGTTAACACCACTTGGTGTCACTCCTTTGTTATTGTCTAGGCAGGTTCCCTTATTTATTAATTAATTTTTTTCAGTTGTATTTTTTTATTATTCAAAACATTTTAAAATTTTAATATATTTTGATCATATTCTTCCCCTCCCCAAGTCCTTCCACATCTTTCCCACCTCCCCAATCCACCCAACTGTAAGTTCTTGCTCAGTGAAAAAAATCAACCCAAAAACAGAAGCCCCCAAACCAAGAAAACAAAGTAAAACAACACCCCAAAAGAGTAAGGACACACTAAACTGTAACCATTTGTGGAGTCCAAGTCAACTAGTCCTGAACATAAAAAATGCTATAGAGTGGTTGATAAACACATTGTCACTCTATTGGGAAAAACCAAACGAAACTATTTTCTCTCTTCCAGATTGGTTGTTAATTTTACCTTAGGGGCTAAGTTTTCATTCAATTATTCATTTTTTAAAAAAATATCATATTGAAGTTGAACAAAAAAAACCAACAGAAAGAAAAGAGTTCAAGAGAAGGCACAAGAGTCAGAGGCCTACTCATTCACCAACTCAGGAGTCTCATAAAATGCTAGACTGGAAGCCATAATATATACTACAGAGAACCTTGTGCAGACCTGTGCATGCTGCTTCAAGTCCCCATGAATTTTTATGAGCTTTGCTCATGTTGATTTGGAAGCCTTGTTATCTTGCTGTCCTCTATCCCCTCTGGCTCTTAGTCATTTTATTGTTATGAATAGTGGTATTTGATTTTACCCTAGGTCCCTGGGTCACCTTGTCATCCAAGCAGTATTGGTATGGGTTCCATCTCATTGAGTGGTCCTTAAGTCATTGGTTATTGGTTGGTTATTTCCACAAGCTTGGTAACTCTATTGCACTACCATATCTTGCAGGCAGGACACCATTGTTCATAAAGGGTTTGTTGCTCCTTGGTTTTTATGCTTCTCTTTTGAAAGTATGTAGAATACATTCCTGTTCAAAGACACTGGAACATAGGGGTGAAGGCTCTATGTAGGAATCAGCTCAGGTTACCCAAGTTCAGTGAGTTGTGTAGGTGTTGTTTTCAGTAATGGGGCCTTGCTGTCAGTTTGTAGAGAGCAATGTATAGTCTTGTCAGCAGCCTGAATTGTTTGGGAATTCCCATGGGACCCCTTTGGCCAACAACTCAATTTAATGTAACCTAATCCCAGTACTGGAAGCTTCACTTATTGAGAAGAGAAATTTAGTTGGGACTCTGTCTCTCCCATTATTTGGGAGTTTTATTTAGATTGCCCTCATAAATGTATATATTTTAGTAAGTGTCTATTGTATTACATTATGATACTTCCCCTTCAAATGCCCCATAATTGTAGCTGTCTCTCCCTGTTTTTCCCACACCAGGTACTCCCCTCTTCTTCCCCTCTTGATCCTCCCATTCTATTTTCTAGCAAGGTCTATTCCCTCTGGTCTTTTAGTCTATACCTACCTTCTGTGGTTCTATGGATTGTAACTTGCTTATCATTGACTTCACAGCAAATAGCCACATATAAATGAATATGTGCCATACTCATCTTTCTGAGTGTGTGTTATCTCAGTCAGGATGATTTTTTTTTCTACTTCCATCTTTTTGCCTGCAAATTTTATGGCTGAGTAGTATTTTTTTTGTGTAAATGTACTATACCACATTTTCTTTATCCATTCTGTTGATGGACATGTTTCCTATTTCTGGCTATCGTAAATCAGTAATGAAAATGGTTGAGCAAATGTCTCTGTGATAGGGTGAAGTATCCTTTGGGCATATGCCCAAGAATGGTATAGCTGAGTCCTGAAGTAGATCAATTCTCAGCTTTCTGAGGAACTGCCACAATGATTTCTATAGTGGCTATACAAGTTTGCACTTCCACCAGCAATGAATGAATGTTCCTCTTATTTCATATCTTTGCTACCGTGAGCTGTCTCATGTTGTTAACCTTATACATTCTGACATGTGTAAAATCTCAGAGTAGTTTTGATTTGCATTTCCTTGGTGACTAAGGCTATTAAACATTTATTTCAGTGTTTCTCAGCCATTTGTGATTCTTCTATTGAGAATTCTCTATTTAGATGTATACCCTATTTTTTTTTATTCTTTATTAATTACACTTTATTCACTTTGTATCCCCCCCGTGGTTCCCTCCCCCCTCCCATCCCATTCCCTTCCTTCCTTCACCCTCTGCATTCATACCCCTCCCCAAGTCCACTGATAGGGGAGGCCTCCTTTTCCTTCCTTCTGATCCTAGTCAATTAGGTCTCATCAGGAGTGGCTGCATTGTCTTCTTCTGTGGCCTGGTAATGCAGCCTCCCCCTCAGGGGGAGGTAATTAAAGACCAGGCCAATCAGTTCATGTCAGAGACAGTCCCTGTTCCTATTACAGTGGAACCCATTTGGATACTGAACTGTCATGGGCTACATCTGTGCAGGGGTCTTAGGTTATCTCCATGCATAGTCCTTGGTTGGAGTATCAGTCTCAGGAAAGACCCCTGTGCTCAGATTTTTTGGTTCTGTTGCTCTCCATGTGGAGTTCCTGTCCTCTCCAGATCTTACTGTTTCCCACTTCTTTCCTAAGATTACCTGCACTCTGCCCAAAGGTTGCCCATAAGTCTCAGCATCTGCATTGATAGTCTACAGGGCAGAGCCTTTCAGAGGCCCTCTATGGTAGGCCCCTGTTCTGTTCCCTCTTTTTGTAGCAGCTTTATAGCCAGAATCTGGAAACAACCCAGATGTCCCTCAACTGAGGAATAGATACAGAAATTGTGATACATTTACCCAGTGGAATACTACTCAGCAATTAAAAACAAGAAAATCATGAAACATTGCAGGCAAATGTTATGATCTAGAAAAAGATCATCTTGAGTGAGGTATCCCAGAAGCAGAAAGACATACATGGTATATACTCACCTATAAGAAGATATTATATAGGATAAACTATATAAACTATATATCTGTATAAGTAGATATAATATAGGATAAACATACTAAAATCTAAAGAAGCTAAGCAAGAAGGAGGACCCTTGGTAAGATGATCAATCCTCACTCAGAAAGGCAAACGGGATGAACATTTTTTTTTTTTTTTTTTTTTTTAATTGCAGTCTGGGTAGCCTCCAGATACTTTTGTGAACCTATTTGTAAATCTTAGGGTCAGAACAAGATGAACTGATACTGGTAGACATTTTTATATTGCTTGTGTAACCATTTGTATATTGTTTCTAGAAGAGAGAACTTTTGAGGAAAAATATTTTTTAAACTTTTTTGTCATAGACCTACAGGAGGCTCTAAGTATTACAGAACATCACAGAACGTTCATTTAAAGTCTCATACTGGGGAATATACAAGCAAGACACTAATGGAGTCTAATTTGGACTCAGAAGAGCCTAAAAATTCAATTTGGGAAGAAAGGTATGTATACAGTGTAGTGATAATGGAAGTTACTCACTTTACTAGTTAGTCATTTATATGTAGCAGTTTACTCCCAAACATAATTTAATTTTGCAAACATGTATCCCTTTATACCTTCAGTGTGCAAGGCCTAGCTAGCTAGTTTAGGTTTGGAAGTGTCTTTCTCTTTTGTATCCCTTTGAAGACTTCACTACAACTAGAGGATCCATTTATGTCTCACATGCTGTTGGCTGTAGGATGCAATTATTTGATGTCTTTTGGTAGGTGAACTTCGTTTCTGGTCATGTGGCATCTGATTTCCTAGAAATCAAATGATCTGAGAAAAAAGTGGCTGTAAATGAATTCAAATGCCCTTTAATGACTTAAAGTCATCATAAGTCCAGACCACATTCAAGAAAAGTGAAATGAGGCTTTATCTTTTGAAAAGAAGATTTTTGGGAATCAGCATGGACCCCGTACACATACCCTGAATATTAGAGGGCCTACAAGGCCCTATTGCTGCTCAGTACAGTGGGGCTCAGGTCCATGTTCTCTCTGCACCACCCCACTTCCACATTGGCCAAATCAACCATACCCTCAAATTTTCTGAAAATTTCCTGCTGGCGAGGTTACGGCATTTGAGTGATGACGGATTCTGTGTGTTTGAGAGCAATACCATCGCCTAATGGGTAAGCAAGGCTGAGCTGTGAGGAAGTACTTCAGAGACAGCAGCTCAGTTGGTGTAGTGCATGAGCTTGCTGACAGTGACGTCATTCCTCCAGCCAGCACCTTGTTCATCATGCACCAAAACAAACAGGCTACTGAAGATCAAAAGAGGTGAAGCGAATCCTGCGGCTGTTGGACACTCACTTGCAGACAAGGACTTTCCTGGGTGGTGAGCGAGTGAGACTGACTGATATCACGATTGTCTGCACCCTGTTGTGCCTGTATAAACAGCCTTCTTTTCGCCAGGCCTTCCCCAGTACCAACTGATGGTTCCTTACCTGCATTAACCAGCTCCAGTTTCAGGCAGTGTTGGAGGAAATGAAGCTGTGTCAGAAGATGGCCCAGTTTGATGGTAAGAAGTTTGGGGAGAGCGAGCCGAAAAAGGACACCCCAAGGAAAGAAAAGGTTCACGAGAAGAGAAACATGTCCCAAGCTGAGCAGAAAGAGGGAAGAAAGGCAGCTGCTCCAGCTCCTGAGGAGGAGATGGACGAGTGTGAGCAGGCACTGGCTGCTGGGCCCAAGGTCAAGGACTCTCACTCACCTGCCCAAGAGTACCTTTGTGTTGGATGTATTTAAGCGTAAGTACTCCAGTGAGGACACCCACTCTTTGGCACTGCCAGATTTTTGGGAGTACTTTGATAAGGATGGATGGTCCCTGTGGTGTGCTGAGTACCGCTTCCCTGAAGAGCTCACCCAGACCTTCATGAGTTGCAAGCTCGTCACTGGAATGTTCCAGCAATTGAGCAAACTGACGAAGAATGCTTCTGCTAGTGTCATCCTCTTTGGAACAAACAACAGCAGCTCCATTTCTGGATTTGAGTCTTCCGAGGCCAAGAACTTGCCTTTCTGCTGAGTCCAAATTGGCAGGTGGACCATGAGTCTTATACATGGCAGAAACTGGATCCTGGTAGCGAGTAGACCCAAACCCTGGTTGGAGAGTAGTTTTTGTGGGAAGGGACCTTCCAGCACATGGGCATAGCCGGCAATCGAGGATGAGATCTTCAAGTGAACATGTCTTGCCATCACCTAGCTGCCTGCACCCACCCTTCAAGAGAGAAGGGGGTCATTATAGGAAACTGAACATTGAAAACAAAACAAAAAAAATTGTTAAAGAATTTGTATCTGTATTGTTAAAGCATCTACTAACACCGAACAAGTGAAATTAATCTGCTTGCATTATCTATGAACTGTTAAAACTTTTAAAAATGAACAACCATCAAATTTGAGCAAATTTTCAGCCTTTGAAGGGAGGACTGTTTGAGGGATTATGACAGTTACTTAGAGGAAGACACATTCTGTAGTTCAGGCCTAGGCCTCCTTATGTAGCCTTGAGTTTGTAATCCTCGTGCCTCAACCTATTGAGTGCTAGGATTATAGGCATATGCCAACAAGCTCAGCTAGAACCTTTTAAATTAATAATGGATCATTTATAATTTAATTAAGTCCAATAGCAACATTCTTTTATAAATGTACGAGAACCAGCAAGGGTATTGTAATTTTAAAAAGAAACAGTCTACAAAAAGTGAAATTAAACATGTAGTATCTGTATCTCTCTATCTCATTTAGATAATTTTGACTCAATCATAGCCCTTGCATTATGCCGCCAGGAAATACATTCTTGATCACCTATTGCATCACTTTGAGTTTCATAAGAAAGAAACGGGGGACATTTTTAAGACATGGTCATGAAATTTAGACACATAGAAATTTATATTTTAAAAACACAGATCTTATGGTTTGTTTTGTTTTTTAAGTGGACCTTCCAGGTTCAAGAATTATGTAATGTCTGTAAGCAATAATTCTGAAAAAAGTGATGAAAAGGACCAGGAGAGGTTGGGTAAGTTATTATTTTCCACTGTTTTGAATTCTACTACACTATGAATATAAAGTATTCTGTGTTTATTTACATTTTTAGTAATAGTGAATGTGCATCTACTTAAGATTATTATTTTATAGTTGGAAATTTGTTGAAATGGTCTAGATCGGCAGAGGCACACTAAGAAGCCTGATGACCTGAGTTCAATTTCCTAGAACCCACATAGTAGAAGGAGAGAATTGATTTCCACAGATTGTCCTCTGTTCTTCATACATATTCCTTGGCATATATGTCTAATACCCCTTGCAACAGAATAAATGAGTGAGTGAATGAATGAATGAATGAGTAGATAATAAATAAATCTTTTAAGCTGATAGAAAAATACTTAAAGCAACAATAACTACATCATGTCTCGATAGTTTTATACTTTTTAAAATTTTTGGTGCTTGAATATAATGTAATACTGTCTTTTTTGTTCCTAATTCACTAATTCTTTTTTTTCTTTTACCTGTTTTTAGGTTTATTTTATATATTTTTTACTACTTCTATATTATTATTATTATTATTATTATTATTATTATTATTATTATTTGCTGAAAAAACAGTGAATTTGCCTGAGTACAATTTTTGATGTGATTTAATAGGTATTATTGTAATGTATAGGTTTGAGTGTTTTGCCTGCATGTATGTTTGTGCACAACATGTGTAAGTGATGCGTTCTGATGTTAGAAGAGGGCATCAGATCTCCTGGAACTGGAGTTACAGATGGCTGTGACCCACAGTGTGGGTCCTAGGTGGGGTGTTTTGTGGTTTGTTTCTTTCTTTCTTTTAGTGATAGTAAATTTTGGACGGCAGAGTCAGGAGGAATTCCTGATGGCTGGGGTGGATATAAGAAGTAAAAGGCTGGAAATAACTTTGTTGGTCTAAACATCTGAAACAATCACATTGTTATTACCCAAATTAGAGACTTATAAAAGGGCAGCAGATATTTAAAGGGAGGCAGAATAAACAAAATATTTTTAGATTTGAACATGGTAAGCTTGATATTATTGTGATCAAAGAGCAGGCAACAGAGTCCAGGACAGAGACAGCTTCTGGTCTCCTTACTAGGATACTCACATGGAGACTGAGCTGCCTATTGGCTACATCTGAGCTGGGAATCTAGGTCCTCTCCATGCATGGTCCTTGGTTGATCTATTAGTCTCTGCAGGCCACCCCTGGGTCCAGATTTGTTGGCTTTGTTTGTCTTCTTGTGGAGCTCCTATTCCCTCTGGGTCCTTCTAGCCCCCAACTTTCCCATAACATTCCCTGTGCTTTGCCCAAAGTTTGGCTGTGAGTCTCAGCATCTGCTTCAGTCCCCTGGTGGGTGGGGTCTTCAGAGGACATCTATGGTAGGCCCCTTCCTGTCAACAGCTTCTGCTATCTATCCTATTTGCCCTTCTGAGTGAGAATTAAGCATCCTATCTAGGCTCTTCCTTTTTACTTAGCTTCTTTAGGTCTGTGGATTGCAGTATGGTTATCTTGTATTATATGGCTTAAATCTACTTATAAGTGAGTATATACTATGTTTACCTTTCTGGGTGTAGGTTATCTCATTTAGGATGATCTTTTCCAGATCTATCCATTTGCATGCAAATTTCATGATGTCCTTGTTTTTAATAGCTGAACAGTATTTCATTGTGTAGATGTAACACATTTTCTTTATCTATTCTTCCGCTGAGTGACATCTGGGTTGTTTCTAGTTTCTGGCTATTATGATTAAAGCCTCAATGAACATAGTTGTGCAGATGTTCTTTTTGTATGGTGGAACATCATTTGGGTATATGTCCAGGAATGGGTCTTGAGGGAAAGCTGATCCCAATTTTCTGAGAAAGTGCCAGATTTATTTCCAAAGAGGTTGTGCAAGTTTGTTTGTGCTCCCATCAGCAATGGAGAAGTGTTCCTTTCTCCATAACCTTGCCAGCATGTGCTGTCACTTGAGTTATTGATATTATCCATTGTGACAGGCATAAGATGGAATCTCAGATTCATTTTGATTATGCATTTCCTTCATGACTAAGGATGTTGAGCATTTCTTTAAGTGCTTCTCGGCCATTATATTTTCCTCTGTTGAGTATTCTTTGTTTAGCTCTGAACCCCATTTTAAAAGTTGGATTATTTGGTTTGTTGGTGTATAATTTCTTCAGTTCTTTATCTATTTTGGATATTAGCACTCTGTTAGATATAGGGTTAATGATATTTTTTTTTCAGTCTATAGGCTGTTATTTTTTTCTATTGACAGTGTCCTTTGCTTTACAGAAGCTTTTCACTTTCATGAGGTCCCATTTATTAATTGTTGATCTTAGAACCTGTGCTGTTTGTATTCTGTTCAGAAAGTTGCCTGATTTAGTGTGTCTGGTTTTATGGTGAGGTCTTAACACTTGGACTTGAGTTTTGTACAAGGTGATAAATATGGATCTATTTGCATTTTTCAACCTGTAAACATCCAGTTAGACCAGCACCATTTGTTGAAGATGCTTTTTTTTTTTTTTCCCCTTTTTCTTTTCCATTGTATGGTTTTGGCTCCTTTGTTGGGGCTTTGTATGTAGATTAGGTATCAGGGTGACTGTGGCGTCATAGAATGAGTGTTATGGGGTAATTTGAGGAGTATTGGTATTAGCTCTTTTAAAGTCTGGTAGAATTCTGTGATTAAACGATCTGGCATTGGGCTTTTTCGGGGTTGGAGATTTTTGATGACTACTTCTATTTCCATAGGGTTGTAGGACTGTTTAAACTGTTTACCTGATCTTGATTTAGCTTTCGAAATTGAAATCTATTGAGAAAATCCTCTGTGTCCTTTAGGTTTTCCAATTTTGTGGAGTACAGGCTTTTGACGTAAGACCTAATAATTCTTTGAATTTCCTTAGGGTCTGTGTTTATAGTTTCCTTTTCATTTTTGATTTTGTTAATTTGGGTACAGTCTTTCTGCCTTTAGTTTGGCCTTTTAGTTTAGTTTGACTAGGGCTTTGTCTATCTTGCTCATTTTTCTGAAAGATCAATCTCTTGGTTTCATTGATTCTTTTTATTGTTCTTTTTGTTTCTAAGTTACTGATTATTCTAAGTTTGATTATTTCCCTGCTGTCTAATCCTCTTAGGTGTGTTTGCTTCTGTTTCTTCTAGAGCTTTTAGGTGTGCTTTTAAATTGCTCTATGAAGCCACTTAGTGCTGTGAATTTTCCCTTAGCACTGCTTTTCTTGTGTCCCATAAGTTTGGGTATGTTGTACCTTCATTTTCATTGAATTCTGGAAAATTTAATTTCTTTCTTTATTTCTTCTTTGACCCAAAGGTCACTAAGGAGGAAGGTGTTCAGTTTCCATGAGTTAGTAGGCCTTCTGTTGTTATTGAGTTCCAGCTTTAATCTCAGTGACCTGATAAGATACAAAGGGTTATTTCAATCTTCTTGTATCTGTTAAGGCTTGCTTTGTGATTGAGTATATGGTCAATTTTGGAGAAGGTTCCCTGTGGTGCTGAGAAGAATGTATATTTTGTGTTTGGGTGAAATGTTCTGTAGGTATTTATTAGGTCCATTTGATTTATGACATATGTTTTATTATTCTTCCATTTAGTTCTGTCTTGATGATCTGTTCATTGGTGAGAGTGGGGTGTTGAAGTCTCCCACTATGAATGTGTGGGCTTCATTGTGTGATATAAGCTTTAGTAATATTTCTTTTATGAATGTGGGTACCCTTGCATTTGGGGCATAGATGTTCAGAATTGAGATGTCATCTTAGTGTATTTTTCCTTTGATGAGTATGAAGTGTCCTTCTAGTATCTTTCTGTAGGGCTGGTTTTGTGGATAGACATTGTTTAAATTGTTTTTTATTGTGGAATATCTTGTTTTCTTTCTCTGTGGTGATTAAAAGTTTTGCCGGGTATAATAGTCAGGATTAACACTGTGGTCTCTTAGTGTCTGTAATATATCTGCCCAGGTTCTTCTGGCTTTAGAGTTTCTGGTGAGAAGTCAGGTGTAATTCTGATAGGTCTGCCAGGCTTCTTGTGTTCGTATAGGCATCTCTTTCTTTATGGAATGTTTCTTTGTGCATCTCTTTCTTTGTGGAATGTTTCTTCTGTGATTTTGATGAAAATATTTTCTGGGCCTTGGAGCTGGGAGTTTTCTTCTATTCCTATTATTTGTGGGTTTGGTCTTTTCTTAGTGTCCCAGATTCCTTGGATGTTTTGTGTCAGGAACTTTTTAGATTTTAACATTTTCTTTGACCGATGTATCAATTTCTTCTATCATAATCTTCTACACTTGAGATTCTCTCTTCTGTTTCTTGTATTCTGTTGGTGATGCTTTTGTCTGTAGTTCCTGTTCTCTTCCCTAGGTTTTCCATCTCTAGGATTGACTAAGATTGTGTTTTCTTTATTGCTTCTACTCCTTATTTTTTTAAAATAAAAAAAACCTTATTTTTCCTCAAACAATAATGCCATATTACAAGAAGTACATTAAAAATTTTTTATTATCATTTATTACAATTTATTCAATTTGTATCCTGGCTGTGGCCCCCTCCCTTCTCCCAATCCTACCCTCTTCCCTCTTCTCCCATACCCCTCCTCGAGTCCACTGATAGAGGAGATTTTCCACCCCTTCTATTTGACCCTAGCCTATCAGGTCTCATCAGAACTGGTTGCATTGTCTTCCTCTGTGGCCTGGCAAGGCTGCACCCCCCAGGGGGCGGTGATCTAAGAGCGTGCCACTGATGCCCCTTACTAAGGAAAGTCCCTACTCCTCTTAATAGGGACTCCACTTGGAGACTGAGTCTATGGTCTACATCTGACCTGGGGTTTTATGTCTTGTCCTTGGTTGGGGTATCATTCTCTTCAGGGACCCCAGGGCTCAGTTTTTATGGCTCTATTGGTCTCTTTTCTATCTTCCCCTTCTTTCCTAAGGTTCCCTGCACTCTGCCCAAAGTTTGGCTATGAGTCTTAGCCTCTGCTTCGATACCTCGATCAATAGAGTCTTTCAGAGGCCATTTGTGGTAGGTTTCTATACTGTTCCCTGTCTTCTCCTGCTTCCAGTGTCTATTGTGTTTGTCCTTCTGAACGAGGATTGTATTGCTTCTATTTCTATTTTTAGGCCTTGAATAGTTTTATTCATTTCCTTCTGTTTGGTTGTATTTTCTGTATTTCTTTAAGGGATTTATTCAATTACTCCACCTGTTTGATTGTATTTTTCTGTATTTCTTTGAGGGATGTATTTTCCTCTTTCAAAGCCTCCATTATTTTTCATAGCCTCAGATTTAAGTCGTTTTCTTGTACTTCAGGTTTGATAGTGTCTCCAGAGCTTGCTGTGGTAGAATAGTTGATTTCTGGTTGTATCCTGTGGTCCTGGGTTTTGTTGCTTGTGTTCTTAGGCTGGCCTCTAGCCATCTGGTTGTCTTTGGTGTTAGCAAGCCTCAATGTCTCTATGGTCAGGCAGATTTGGAGTAGGTGGAAAGTAAGCTGGAAGTTGCTGGGTTCCACCACAGGCCTCCTCAGGATAGTGGGCAATGTGGGTTAGGGCCTGCATACAGTTCACCTTTCATGGTCTGCTGGTTGTGTCCCAAGTGGGCCAGGAAGATTGAGAGTAGGATGATAGCTCCAAGCTGAAGGCTGCTGCTGCTGCTGTTGTGTGTATGCGTGCGTGTGCGTGCGTGCGTGCGTGTGTGTGTGTGTGTGTGTGTGTGCGCGCGCGTGCACGAGTGTGCAGGAGGGGGGCCCACAGGCCTCCTTGGCATGGCGGACATGGGGTTTGGGGCATGCCATAAAGCTCACTTCTCTCGGGTCTGTTGGCTGTGTCCTGGCAGTCAGTGATTTTAAACTCTGAGCCATCTCTCCAGCCGTTTCTTCTATTGCTAATGTTTTTGTTATACTTTTTATTTCCAGTAGAGTTCCGGGGATCAAATGTAGGTCTTTATGCATTCTAGGCAAAACTTCCCCTCCTCTTCTCTCCTCTCTTTTTTGCGCACTTCTGTATGTGTGATCTGTGCAGCTGTGTACGCACATGTGCGGATCAGGTTGATGTTGGAGAATCTTCCTCTATTTCTCTCTACCTGTTTGAGACAAGATCTCTGTATTAAATTTAAAGCTTGGTGTTTTAGCTAGACTGGATGACCAGCAAGCTTTGGGGATACATCTGTGTTATGCTCCCAATGCCCTTAGCCAGTGCATAGCTTTTGGGTGATAAGACTCCAAACTTTGTCCTTATACTTATGGTGCTGGTACCTCATCTACAGAGCCACCTTCCCAGCCCCATATTTAAACTTTGTTAAAGAAGTGAAAGTGTCTACAAAGAGCAGACTAAATTGTTTCATTTCAGACTTAATGCGTCATGATTATTTTTAGTATTTAGTTTTTGCTTTGTGGTGTTATATTATTTAACTATCATTTATTCTAATCCTCAAATAGTGATAGAGCTCATCATTTACTTTTATTTTAGGTGGTTCCTTCTTTTGTCATGAATCTGTCATTTTTGGACTTTTAGAAAACTACCTTTTTGGGAGTTGTGAGACATAGATATTCCAGGTTACTTTTAATTCTGAAGTCAATTATTTCTCTGAAAACACCTGATATGTTTTCATGGGCCATGGCATTTAGAATCCAAGACTGGTATATCCTTGATTCTGTTTTTGTTTTTTTTTTTTTTTTTTTTTTTTTTTTTTTTTTTTTTTTTTTTTTTCCTTCTGGATAGGATAGGAACACAACGCACATGCGGAAGTGGGAGGGTGGAAGGGAGGGAGGGAGGGAGAGATGCTGAAACTCGGAGACTGACTATCTAACAGTGACCATCTATCTTAGGTGTTTGTTACTGTGATAAAACACCGCGATCAATAGCAACTTGGGGAGGAAAGAATATATTTCAGCTTTTAGTTCCACATCACAGTCAGAGAAGGAACTCAAACGTGGAGGCAGGAGCTGATGCAGAGACCATCCCATATTAAAGAAAATGCTCTACAGATGTGCTTACAAACCAATCCTATGGAGGCATTTTCTTGATCAGATTCCCAGATGACCCTAACCTGTGTCAAGTTGACAAAAACTGTCCATCACAACAACTACATATGTTTATAATCCAGAAACCACAGGTTCACATCAACACCTTCAGTTCTAGCACAGGACACATATTTTGAAGTAATGTGAAACCTCATTCCCATTATTCTCTTATATTTATGGTTTAACAGCTGAGCCATCTCTCCAGGCCCCCATTATTCTCAATGCATTCAGTTGTCTGACTGCTGAATGCCTTCAAGGCCCACTGCTATGGAAAATTTTCAGCAAAGATGAGACATCTACATGGGAAATTAGATTGGAGTGGTGATGATAACAGCTTAAATTTTATGATAAACTTCACATGTCATAACTAGCTTACATGTCAATAGTATGCAGTCATCATTGCAGTCAAGTTGAGAACATTTTTATCGTCACTCCTGCCCCTACCCCAGTCCCAGTATCCTTAACCAGCCACTTTCTATTTTTTTCCTCTCACGCCTGGGCAAAAAGACACTCATCTACATTTTTTTCCTTTGTTTTCTTGAGACAGGGTTTCTCTGTGTAGTCTTGACTGTCCTGGACTCGCTTTGTAAACCAGGCTGACCATGAACTCACAGTGATCTCCTTGCCTCTAGCTCCATGAGTGCTGGGATTAATCGTGTGTGCTGCCGTGCCCAGATACTCATGTACTTTGATCTCCATAGATTTATTATGTACAGGGCAGTTTAGTTTTATAGACATTAAAGTTTCTTCCAAATCAATAATTCTATATTTGATTAGTAGTTTTGAAACTATTTTGTTTTCTGAAAGCTTTGACCAATTTTTCACAAAAATGTATACATTATATTTGACATAACTAGCTTATGAACATAAAGTATTCTAGCTACTCATTACTGCATTGTTACCTCAAAACTAGTCCCTTAATACAGCTATTAATTTATTTTACATGGTACTGGTAATAGATTTGTCGAGGCAGTTCTTACGTGGATACATTTATGATTTGATAGTTAGATATGAGCTATTTGCCTACAATTTCTGTAAGCTTAGTTGAGTTAGACATAATAATGAGTTCCTTGTTTCTTTATTTGGCACCCATCTAGGAGAGACAGAACACTGTGCAGTCTGAGAATCTTTTCCTTTGTATGGCTTTTTCATGTGGCTATCTTGGGTTTCCTGAAAGCATGGCAGTCTTGAGTGTTTGATATCATTATTGTCTTCCCCCAAAGTTTGACACCCCCCCCCCCCAGTAGAATGTGCATGTCTTGTTAGGATTTTGTATTTAACCACAGAATTCCCAGAAGGTAATTTTTGTATTAGTGTACCAACCCACTCTGGCCAGGAAAATTCAAGAAGGAAATGAAACTGTTGCTGCTGCTGCTGCTGCTGCTGCTGCTGCTTCTTCTTCTTCTTCTTCTTCTTCTTCTTTTTTTCTCCTTCACTTAAAAAGCCCTGAAACATAATTATATAATCCTCTTCTCCTTGAGATTTAGATAAATGTAGAAATTTGTCCATTTCTTTTAGATTTTTCAACTTAATGGAGTATATTTTTTTAAGTGTTTGCTTATCGTGTTTTTAATTCTTTGTTGTCTGTTATATTCTGTTAATTTGGGTCTTTTCTTTCTTTTGGCTAGTTGGGTCAGAGGTCTGTCAGTCTTGTTTATCTCCTCAGAGACCCAATTCCTAGATTTGTTAATTCTTTGTACTGCTTTCTGTGCTTCTATTTCATTAAATTTTCTTCTGATTTATATTGCTTCTTGCCATAGACTGGGTTTGGATTTGGTTTGTTCTTGTTTATCTAACTTGTTGAGTTGTATCATTAAGCTATTTTTGCTATATTTGATTTCATAATGCAAGCCCTTATAAATTTCCCTCATAGGACTGTTTTCAATGTGTCCCATGTGTGTTTTGGTTTCATTTTCATTTAGTTCCAGGAATTTTTTTTTCTCTTTTTTGATCTCTTCGACCCATTAATCATTGTTATGAGTTGTTTTATTCCACATGAGTTTGTATACTTACTTGGAAAATTTAATCATTTCAATCTTTCTAAATTTGCAAAGTTATGTGTGTGTGCTGGGCGTGGTATCACACACCTTTAATCCTAGCACTTTGGAGGCAAAGGCAGGCGGAGTTCTGAGTTTGAGGCCAACCTGGTCTAGAAAGCGAGTTTAAGACAGCCAGGGCTCTCTTATACAGAGAAACCTTATCTTGAAAAACCAAAAAAAAAAAAAAAAAAAGGAAAAAAAAGTGTGTCTCAGGACATCTGTTTTAGAGAAACTTTCATGTGGTGCTGAGTAAAATGTATATTCTTTTGTGTTTGGATACAGTAATTTGTGTTTGGATAAAATAAGCCCTGTGGTCAATTAATTCTGATATTTCTCTGTTTATTTTTTTGTTCAGATGACCTGTCCATTGCAGAAGGTAGGTTGTAAAAATCACATACTATTAATGGGTTGATGTTAATTTCTTTTGTTCTAGGAGATCACTTTTTATGAAATTGGTGCATATATGTTTAGAATAAAGATGCCTTCTTATTTTTCCTTTGATTAGAATGAAGTGTTCTGTATTTCTTATTATTTGTTTTAGCTTGAAGTGTATTTAGACAAATATTAGATTACCAACATTTTCTTTCTTCCTGGCTGATCTTTGTTTTGAATTCTTTTCAGTATTTATATCTCTGTTTTGAATTTGGTGTTTGAATGGTGGGATGTCTTCATCATTTTCATCAGCTTTGTGTTTGTGTTTTCTAGAGCATCACTTGGGCATTTATTTTCTTTGTTTCTTTGTGTCTTTAAACTTCCTTAACTCTTTCAAATTTATGATAGTTCTTTTTATTTTTTTTGTTCAAACATGTTCATTATGTCTTTATTCATAACAGTCTTATAAATTAGCACATATGTAAGTATTATTTATGTACAGATGGAATAAACAAGAATACAAAGTAGAAATGCAGATGAATAATCATCACTTTCAAAGTATATTGACAACTTTAATTCTCTCAATTAAATTTAGTTAATTTCAGCATGTATTAAAAAACTGTACCTGAAGTAGCAAACTTTGCATTCCTAGGTGTGATTTTGATGATATTTTAAAACTATTTTTTAAATTAATTAATTAACTTTACATCCCAATTGCAGCTTCTTCTCCCTCCTCTCCTCTCAGACCTTCCTTCTCCCCTCGCCTCCCACTTTCCTCCCTTCTTCTCTTTGCCTCCCTTGGATATCAACCAGGGCTGGCATATATATACAAGAAAACATACGAATTCAGCCTGGGCTCACAGCAGTCCACAGACACTGAACCACCAAAACAGAGAGCATGCATGGGACAGATCTCGTGTTCCCTCCCCTCACATACGTAACAGATATACAGCTTGGTCCTCATGTGGGACCTCTAACAGCAGGAGAAAGGGCTGTTTCTGATGCTGATGCCTGCCTTTGGATTCCTTTCCTCTTATCAGGCTGTCTGGCCGCAATAGAAGAGGATGGGCCTAATCCTAATTTTTTTTTATGGTAGTTCTTTTTATGATAGTTCTTTTGAAGTAGGTGTCCTGGAGTCTAAGTAAATTTTTTTTTTTTTTTTGAGAACTCTTTTGTAGGGCTAGTAGATTTAGGGGGAACATACTATTGATTTTTCATATTTGTATTTTGTGATGAAATGTGGGCATGTGGCCTTTTTATTGGTTCTGTGATTTATGTGGACACAGGCTGGAGCAGAACATGTTATGTGGAAATTGGATATGGTGTGGGTGGGTTGAAGACTTGTGGATACATAGGATGCTGGGGTAGTGCACAGATTATGTATCCTGGTGTAAGCATGGAGGTTGAAGAAAACATGAGATTGGGGTTGAGGGCTTAGCAGTTAGGCCTGGACACTGGATGTGGGATTCTGGCTATGTCAGGATTGAGAGTGTGGGTGCATGTTAGGATAGGTAGAATCACCAGTTTGGGCCTGTGTACAATATTTGGATTCTGCTTCTTAATAAAATGATTATTATATGTAAAGGGAAAACAATTAACAGCTGTTTTTGCTGTCTTAGCCTATTGCTAAATTTAGCACATTGAGAATTTGGGAGTGATTTTACTATTAATTAGAACTTTAAGAAAGTTGTGGGTAGAGTGTAGATACCATTTTGCCATGCATTTTTATTTGCAAGTGACTTATTTCCCATTCACAAGCAATAGAGAATGTTTTTTTTTTTTTTTTTTTTGTTGTTGTTAATTTTAGTACTTGTCCTCTTTAAATATGTTCATTGTATCAAAGTGTAAGGGGATGTTATACTGTTTTTCCTTAGTTTGTATTGTTTTTCAATAAAAAATGAAAGTGTAAATTCTATTTTCAGGTTTAAGTCTCATTTATAATACTTATTGACACTGACCAGTATTAAAGTAGTAACTTTAGAATTAGCAGGCATTGTTTCTAATACTATCTTTTGTATTTTGCAGATTTGAGAATCAAGAATTCTAATGTGTCATCAAATGGGAATATACATCACAAATTAGGTAAAATAATTTATTCTTATAGTATTTCCACTGAAAAAATAGTATTATTGGATCTCTATAAATATAATTTGTTTAAACAGGGAAAATACATCCACATTAATATTACATAATTAGTTCTCAGCATTTCATAGTATATCATTATAAACCACTGATTTGTTATTGTATTGTTTGTTTATAAATCCCAAAATCCCTTAGTCTTTCTTCTGCTCTTTGATCCTACCTAACTGAAGAAACTAGTGAGAGGTGTCTGCTAGATAGATGATGTCCCCGAGAGCTGTTCTCTTATTTTTCTCTAGTTCATTCCTACCCAACAGCAGCTAGAGTGGTAAGTAGCAAATGAGGGAACTGTATTAAAATACCATAGCTTATCAAATGATACCTGTCAGTCATGATTCATGAGATCTTCCACCTTTGTGTGATGCAGAGTTATAAGAAATCACCTATGACAGTTGACCTAATGTACTTAAAAGTTTCTAATCTTTCTATTTTCATCTGTTCATTTTACCATCATATGTCATGCTTATCAGTTTTAATTATAAGTTCCACTTTGTCTAATATTAAAGGAGACCTAATATTTTATGCTTGCATTAATCTGCCAAATTCTTTGACAGTAGTTTTAAATGTGATTTTACATATTTAGTTTTCATGGTGCTAGTGATTAACTTAGGATCTTTTATTTGAAAGCTTATAAACATACCTGTGTATACTGTGTAGTCAAATTCAGTGGCCTCTAACTTAGTAGAGGAATTCCACAAATTTATTTGGGATAACATGTTTTTTTTTTTTTTTTTTTTTGCCTATTCTAAGTTTTAAGATAGTACAACTCTTCATCTCTCTTCATCTGAACACTCATAAAATTCCAGTCACATGCTCATTACACGGTAGACATAACTCTGTGCTAATGAGCAATGAGTCATGTTCTTATATAATCCTCCTCTAGAATGTAGTTGAAACTTAAAGCTATCTTCCAGTTACTGCACTAAGTAACATAAGTGAGATGCATAAGTGACAAGCATTCCATGCTCCCTCTTCTGATTTAGAAAAGAAAGAAAACATGAGAATTAGAGAAGGATAAACTAGGAAGGGATAGAGGATAAGAAAATGAGAGGAGAGGGACAAGAAGAGTATATTGTATGAATTTGAATTTGATGTATGATAATGCTATAATGAATCCCATTATTTTTGTATAACATATGCTAATCAAAATCTTAAATTTTTTCTTTAAAAACTTTTTCATACAGCATATTTTGATCATATTCTTTTTTCTGCCCTAGCAGCCCCCAGATCTGATCCACTTCACAACCCATTCAACTACATGCTCTTTCTCAAAAACAAAATAAAAAAAAATAAAAAAAATAATTAAAAACAAAAAGAAAAGAAAAAGTTAAAAAATGACCAAAAAAAAAAAAAAAGTGGAAAAAAAACACAGAGTCCAGTTAATGTTGGCCAACGACTCCTGTGCATGGACCCTACTCTGGAATATGACACTCCATTGGAGAAAAATAATTCTCCCATTCCCAGCAAATACTAGTTGCAAATAGCTTCTTGTTTAGGGATGGGGTTTTGTATTGTATTCATTTCCCCTTCTCCATATTTGAACCTTTGCAGGTTCTGATTTGAACCTGTCTGATTTGAACCTTTGCAGGTCTTGTGTGAGTTCATATGTTTATCAGTACTGGAAGATACTGTTTCCTTGTATTCTACCACGAACTCTGACTCCTACACTCTTTATGCTTCCTCTCCTTCATAGATCCCTGAGCCTTCAGGGGAGGGGTTTGATAAAGACATTCCACTTATGTATGAGTGCTCCAAAGTCTCTCCCTCACTGCATATTGTCCAGCTGTGGGTCTCTGTTTTAATTCCTATCTACTGCTGAACAAGGCCATATTGTCTAATCTTTTTTGAAAAGTTCAACTGGGAACAAAAAGCCTTTGAGGGGCATTGTCATTTAAACTACCAGTCTTGGTCCCCATTCTTTTGGTGTCCTGTTTAAAGAAAGTTTTTTTCTGTGACAATGAGTTCAAGCCTATACCCCACTTTCTCTACCAGATTCAGTGTATCTGGTCTTATATTGAGGTCTTTAATATATTTGGAGTTGAATTTTATTCAGGGTGAACCAGCATGAAGACTGAGCTGCTTATTAGATATATCTATATTAGATATATCTATCTATATATCTATATATCTTGTATGGTCCTGAGGCCTACAAAACACCGAACAGATTTTTCATGTCTTTTATTGGTGAGGCTAACTTCTAAAGATTTTGCTTGGCACCCATAGCTTTTATAGTTTTACTTTTGTTTGAGTTTTCTTTAGTGGTTCTTTTTGTTGTTGTTAAATTCTATATCTGTGTCTTGAGACCTCTTTGGCCAATGTCTCAACAAGATGTAACCCATTACATTATTTCCTTCATCTGTGTTGTCATGATCTTATTAACAGAATTATTAATATTTAGCATCTTTGAACATATTTGTTTATTGCTATTTTGAAGTGCTTTTCTTATGCTTCAACTAAAATGGGGCCTATTAAAATAAGGTTGCTGGCTTTTAGAAGATTTAGTTATTCATGTTTGGTTTTGTGCTGGAATCCAGACTTCTAAAGTTATTACTTTTGAATTGTTTCTTGGTATAGGTATTTGTCTTTGTATGGTGGGTATTCTCTCTTGGTTGCTATTGCCAATTCTGGGTCCTAGTCAAGTGTGGTTTCTTTGGAATCCCAGATTCCCCGCTACAGTGGTGATTGTAGGGTCCCTGGTAGATGTTAGGCGCATCAGTGAGAAGTCACAAAGGAATGGAGATGGGATGGAAAAACAGGTTGAGAGGTATGGTGAGGAATCTTGGTATCTGCACCAATAGGCTGAGTCCCAAGAAGATTGGAAATGCACTGAGAGATATTACTCAGATGGGCAGGCTGCAGGAAGATTAAAGTTTTTGTTTGGAGATAATAGAATGGAAAGCAGGAAGGAAGATTAAGTTCATCCGCCTAGTACCTAGCTGAGTGTTGTGACTGGGAGTTCCTGATAGAGAGTGGTTTAGAGTTGTCATAAACTATTGGAATCTCAAATTATAACAGTGAATTCTGCTTAATATACAGAGTATAGCATTGTTCAGATAAGATAATACCATTAACATTCTTACACATGGGTATTATCAAATTTTTATTTCTTAACCAATCTAGAGACTTTATTTTTCATGGACTTGTATTTACTTACATGAACATCTAAAAATTTGAGGATTTTGTCTCTTAATAGAAACATTATGTTCTAAAACTTGATATGTGGGGGCTGGGGAGATGGCTCAGTGGTTAAGAGCACTGTCTGTTCTTTCAGAGGTCCTGAGTTCAATTCCCAGCAACCACATGGTGGCTTACAACTGTCTATAATGGGATCTGATGCGCTCTTCCATCATGAAGGCATACACGCAAATAGAGTGCTCATATGTATAAATAAATAAATCTTTAACAAAAAACTTGATATGTATTTTTCTACTATGTTTACTCAACATTTGAATTTTTGTTTAACTTTTTACAGTATTGCCCTCCAACTCACCAAGTGTTCGTAGAACAAAGAGGATACGTTTTAAACCTTTGGAATATTGGCGTGGAGAGCGGATAGATTATCAAGAAAGCTCAGCAGGTACTAATTTAGAGTAGAATGTCTCATAAATGAAGGAATTTCTACTCTATTATATCTTGTGACAGGCCTCATTTAATCATCACTCCCTACATACAAACATCTAAGAATAGGGTTCAAATTCAGATTTGTCTCATTGTTATAGAGATGCTGATTTTTTTCCCCTTTCTCTTGTAATTAGCTGTTTGACTTTGTAGATACTGTAACTTATATATCTGAAATTTCTAATTGCATAAAGTGAATCATCTCTTTTAAGGTTTATTTTATTTTAATGATATGTATGTGGATGGGTGTGAGGATATGCATGGAGGCAAAGATTCATTGGATCCTCCTGGAATAGAGTGACCAGGTTGTTGTGAGCCACTCCATATGGGTGCTGGGAACTGAATGCTGGTCCTTTGTAAGAGCAATACTAAGTCTTTACTGGTGAACCATCCTTCCATCCCAAAATGAAACATAGTAGAACATGAGAAAATATCTAATAAAGATGATTATCTGTCTTAGCATCTATTCTCTTTATAGAGAGTTAACAAGGAACTAATGTTAAAGTTACTTCCCTATTTAGATGAATGTAGCTATGTTAAAGGACACTAAGTTACTACTTCAAGTTCATGACTAGTTTCTGCAGCTTTCTTTTTTGTTTTTAACCTTCCACTGACACCTGTTGATTTCAGGTGTGTAACAGGTCATTGAGTCTTGTTTCATCAGAGTTAGAGTGTTAGAGACAATTGAAATTGGTTAGAATTTATGTCACTTTAACAGCTGTAGCGTGTAGTAACAGTGGCATTTTCCTTGGTACTTTGAAAGGAAGTGTAATATATTTAATGCTTTTCTTTAAGCTTTTGATGTTTCCAGAAATGTTATTTTTATCTTTTTGTTAAATTTTAGGTGGATTTGTGCTTGGAATCATATCCCCAACTCCAGTAGCAGACAAAATAAGGGCAAAAAGAAACCTGAACAAAGTCAACAAAAAAGTTAACAGAAAACGGATTCGTTCTGATAATCATAAAAGTATGAACCCATTCCTAACATAGTTTAGATGTCATACCTCTTAAAACTTCAAATATAATATTCTCATCAGTAAAACTTGCTTTATTTGTTTGTTCGTTTGTTCATTCATTCATTCATTCATTCATTCATTGAGTCACTCACTTTGTATCCTGGTTGTAGCCCCCTCCCTCATCTCCTTCCAGTCCCACCCTTCCTTTTAGGGGAAGTTCTTCTCTTCTGTCTGACCTTAGCCTATTAGGTTCCATCAGGAATGCCTGGATCCACTTCCTCATCAGGGAGAAGTAATCAAGGGGCAGGCAACTGAGTCATGTCAGAGACTGTCTTCTCCCCTTATTAGAAGACCTGCCTGGAGACTGAGCTGTCTTGTCTATAGGCTACATCTAAGCAGGGGGTGTATGTCCTCTCTGTGCATGGTCTCTTTTGTTGATGCATTAGTCCCTGCAGTCCCTCCTGGGCCGAGCTTTTTTGGCTTTGTTGATCTCCATGTGGGACCCTTGTCCCCTCCAGGTCCTTCTAAATTCTCCTTTTTCATAAGAGTCCTTGTACTTTGTCCAAAGTTTGGCTGTGAGTCTCTGCGTCTGCTTTGATCCCCTGTTGTGTGGAGTCTTTTAGAGGACATCTGTGGTAGGCTGCAGTCCTATTCCCTCTCTTCTACTGCTTCCAGCATCTATCATGTTTTCCCTTCTGAATGAGAATTAAGCATCTTTCCTAGGGTCATCCATGTAAAACTCACTTTATAATGTCATTCCCCCATTTTGAATGTAAGACAATTTTATTCTTATAAAAATAACTGTATAATATAATATAATATAATATAATATAATATAATATAATATAATATAAAATATTTACTCATGAGTACATTACTTACTCATATGAACTTTCTTTTTTCCATGCTCAGAGTATGGTTGCAGTAGATATTTAATGAACTTTTCCATAACTTTGATACAATTGTAGTTCTGAGGGAATAGGCAAATCATCTTTTAGTCTTTTGTTGAAATCAAGAGTTGACATAAATGTCTCATAGAAGTGCTGGTTTTACATTAAATTACATGTCCTAGAATTTGAATTTTTATTTATTGGAGTGCTAACATATGAACAGAAATAAATTGGTAAATCTTTTGTCAATTTTCTTTGCAACTTGTCTGTATATTTTGTATTTATGGTTGTGAGCCTAGCCTTTAACGGCTGAGCAATCTTTCTAGCCCTGTCTATATAGTTTGTACAGAATTATTTTTTTTTTGTAATGGAGATGAATTTTAAGCAATGCTTTTGTTTCAATGGTCTTTGTTTTACAGAGACTAGGTTAGTGTTGAATCTGGATATACCTCTAGGAGATCCTTTTCAGACAACATTGGCAAAGGACCCAGAAACAAGAGAGATTGTCCCCATGGGTAAGCTTGGGAATGGTACTGAGAATAATTTAACAGAAACTGTTGAATGGTTAGTCTGTGTATATATGTTCTCTCTTCCTCCTTCCTTTTCCTTTTTCTCTTTGCCTCCTTCCTCTCTTCTCCCCCCTTTCTCCCAGCACTAAAATCTATTCCAATAAACAGCCTCTGTGAGAATAATTATGGATGAGCATTGATGTCAATTACAGTATCATTTGTTTGTATTCAGAATTCTGGAGTTCACGTCCTGCAACTACCTATCATGTGTGTTATCTCCAACAGGAGTAGGCCTTCTATAGCTGGGAAGATACATGAAGAACTTTTTATGGGGAATTATGGAAATTTAACTGGTATGCCCCAGGATATGTTCCATGTGGACAGGAAGAATTGGGGCCAGGGCACACACTGTCTTCCGAACCTCTGGAAACCAGTAATGGTTTCTGGGTCAGGAAACCTTTGTGAACATGAAAGTTAATAGCATCAATCAGCCATACATAATTAGCTTTAATGTTAAGACACCTCATAATGTAGTATATAGACAGTGAACATTTAGTTTCTGGGAGGCCATACATAATTCTAAGGTATATACTCTAGTAGTATGGTGGTTTATTTACATATAGGAAGTACTTAAATCTCTTAATAACTGAAAGGACTGTGTCTTAGTCACTGTTCTATTGCTGTGAAGACACACCATGATCACAGCAACTCTTATAAAAGAAAACATTTAATTAGGGGCTTGCTCACAGTTTGAGAAGTTTACTCCATTATTGTTATGGTGGGAAGCATGACAGGCACGGGAAAGTAGTTGTGTGCTTACATCCTGATCTACAAGGTAGAAAGAGGAGACTCTGGGCCTGGCTTTGGCTTTTGAAACCTCGACACCACCCCCAGTGACACACTTCCTCCAACAAGGCCACACTTCCTAATATTTTCAAATAGTGCTATTCCCTGGTGACTAAGCATTCAAATATCTGAGCCTATTGAGGGCAATTTTATTCAAACCACCACAGACTGTATCAGAATAATAACTGTTCCTCCAAGTCAAACATATTGTTCATACTGGATGTTACTAGTGGTATTTCTACTTATATTTTGTTTATGAACTAGTTTACATTTACTAAATTTATGTAAACTTCTACCGAGTTATTCTATATTTACAAGGCACCAGAGGTTAAAATACAGAAAGTATTGTTTAGTGTAAAAACATAACTTGAGGTCTTCCAGACTAGAAAAATTTTATTTTCAACCTTTTTTTGTTGTCCACCACTCCTACCCTCAAAGACCAGGTTTCTATGTGTACCCCTGGCTGTCCTAGACCAGGCTGGCCTGCCTCCCAAGTGCTGGGATTAAAGATGTGTTTTTTCTACTTTTGTTTGTTTAATAGTCCATGCATTTTCTTTATTGCATTGTATTTATGACCCTTAATATTCTCAGATATCTAGTAATATAGAGCCAGAAGCTAATGGTTAATGAATGTATTAGGAGGTTGAAAAAGTGCAAAGGAAACTTGAAATGAGAGAGTGATTATTTAGCTAAAGCTTATATTTTTGCTTTCTTGTAGTATTTACATAATAAAATATTTCTGTTTAATCATCACCAAATGAACAAAAACCAATTTATTGTCATTTTTATGACACATTTCTATTTTGGACCTTTTAAAGCTTTGTAAAGACATGGAGCTCTTTATTGTGTCTCCTAATACTATTCCTTTGTAGCCTCAATAGAAGTAAAAACAATTCCATTATTGTTAAGCTAAAATAAATAAAATTGTGCTTAGTTTGAGCCATTCATTCTGTTGTTCTGAAACATGAACTCTTTGATGTTCACAGAATCTGTTTAACATAGGCTGTTACTCATTTTTACAGAAAGAAAATCGAGGGTTAGAGAGCTTAAGTGGTCCAAGGTCGTACAGTTCATAGGTCATGCAGAATGTGACCTTTGGTGTTCCAGGTTCCAGAATCAGTGATCTTCACCCTGTTTGTCTGTTGATTCTTCCTGTGTGTGTGCGTGGTCTAACTGACTCTTATATAAATGTTTATAATGTTTTATTGAACTCTACTATTAGAAAAGGGTTTTCCATGTGGGCTGCTAGTTTGTAACCCTCCTGCCTCAGTTCCATATGTGCTGAGATGACAGAGGCTGTTAAATATTGTTTATATCTGTATTATTGTTTTTCTCCTAGATCTTATAAGACCACGAGATACATACCAATTTTTTGTTGAGCAACATGGCCTGAAAGTTTTTAAAACATTGGATACAGCATTTTTTTCTACTGGAAAATTGGTTTTAGGACCCCATGAAGAAAAAGGAAAACAACATGTTGGCCAAGATATATTGGTGAGTGTATTTCTCCACTTGTTTGTCTTTCTAGAAGTGCAATTGATTGTTTTTCTTTGATGATGTTTTAAAATCTATTTACTTGGTACTGAAGTCCCATTGTTACACTGCACAAAGAAATCGTTCATAAAGTAAATCTGTTGGGAGTTAACCTGCCAGTAATTATTTAAAAATACCTGTACTGTGCATAGCACAACCTTGAGTTTCAGTGGTTTAAGGTACAATTGTTTCTTAAAAGAATCGTAGAATACAGATTTGCAAATAAAGAAATAGAATTTTAGAGTTGGTGAGGATTATAGAGATTAAGTCTTCTGAATTTCTGCATCATGTAGTCGAGGATCAAAAGAATTTAAGAATGCTTAACTAGTTAGAAATGCCCTGGAGACCAAGGACTAGCTGCATCATCAGTCACTGTACTTAATGATTACTAAAGTTATAACGGGATTTATGGTGAGTTAGCTTGTCTCACTCTTTCTTCCTTCCTCTCTCTTCCCTTCCTTTTTTACCTCCTTCCTTGCTTACCTTTAGTCTCAGTATCTGCTCTGTGTGTGTGTCTGTGTGAACATGCACACGTATGAGCATGGGCTGTGCGTGTTCATGAGTGCAGATAACTCTTCATTCAAAACATAAATGTAAAAATTATGAAATGTATTTTAAGGATATTTAACATGCCATCATTTTAGCAATATCATAATTAAGAGACATTGCAAGAATAATTTATTGGTGCACCATTATAGCTAGAATCAATTAGAATAATTTCACAGTATTCATTAATACAGTCTTAATACCCTATATCTCTCCAAGTATAGTTATGTGTGTGTTTATATGTGCTTGGCATTTATGGCATATGTACATAGGGCAGGGTGCATTGACCAGATGGTGTGCCGCTAAATTACTCTCTACTTTATTCCCTTTATTCCCTCTACTTTATTCTACTTTAAGTTGGCAACCCCCAAGCCCAGCTATTTTATTTATAGAAGAGTATTTAGAAACTTACCTAGTTTATCTCTACTGGCACCATACTAGTCAGCGGCAGATGGATCTTTAGAAACTGTTGTTCCCTGAGGGGAATAGTCAGCTCTGATTGAGATCACCGCTATTGATGGAAAGATCTGACCAGTCATTATGTGTGCCTCTAATGTGTACTCCAGTCAAAAAAACCAAAAAACCAGAACAAACCCTGGAAAATAATAATGAAGACACAATTAGAAATTTGAACATTTATTTAGGGATGGATATATTAATGTTATATTTTTATAAAGGACTCAATTTTTTAGTATACAGTGAATATTTATAAATAATTATAAATGCTAGGCTTTCTTTCCAAATATTAAATAATGAAGGAAATAGACTATTTATTGGACAATTATGCATAGCCATATAATAGTAAACAGGGTATCCTCCCTAAATGTTCACTTTGATGAAATAGTTTGACGTATTGTTCATGTACCCATGACCATTCCAGGCTGAATTTCTACTCACTCCAACCCATACCTAGACAATGGGCTGTGTTTGAATATAATCTGTTTAGGTTTGATAGTCACTTGGAGAAGAACAAATTTATTCGATTATGTAGAGTAGAGGCTGTGTGACACTTGATGCAGGTCGGAGTCCTAGGTTGCTCACAGGTTGCTAGTTGCATAGCATGTGGGGATCATGGTCTCAGGTTGCCAGTTACATACTTAGAAAAGGAGTGTGTTCTTTTCTAAGGATGAAGCTGCCCTTTTCCTTCTAGTTTTATTGATATTATTGAGAGAATTCAGTTCCCATGTGGCTATCAAACTGCTGTTCTCATTTTTTCTCTGGATGTTGGTAGTTTTTGTAAATAGCTCATGTTCCTTGGCTTTTGGCCACTTGTCCTTAACACCAGCAATGTGCAAAAAACATTTTGCTTAAAATTGCTTCTGTCTAATTTTCTCCGTGTGTGTGTGTGTGTGTGTGTGTGTGTGTGTTTGTGGGGGTGGGTAGAGTTCATCTTTAAGGTTTGTTTGATTAGACTGGGCTCAGTTGAAATTAAGGATTACTCCCTGTCTCAAGGTCCTTTTGCCACTTAGATGTATTTCTAGGTTTTGCAAATTAAAATATAGACATCCACGAGGAATTATTATTTTGCCTGCTGCACTTCATTTAAGTATTTCTATAGTATATTTGTTGTGGTTCAATTTGAAATGAGATTTTATTTTTAATTTTATAGATTTTTTATGTTGACTTTGGTGACCTTTTATGTACCTTACATGAAACACCTTATATGATAACTACTGGAGATTCATTCTATATTCCTCCAGGTAAGAACAGTTAAAGCATTTTTAAAATGTTAGAAAAGTCCATATGTTGTTTGTGTATAGTTCCATGAATATGAAAGCTACAGTGGTAAAAATAAATTACCTAGGGACTGATGTCAAAGCAGTTTGGTACTATTTTGCTTTCATTTTATCATTAAGTAGTTATATTAGTGTTTTGATATGTGAAATTCAGACAGCTGTTTGCTAAATAATAAGAATATTAATTTCTGCAGTGTTATTTCCAATGACATTAAGCCCCTTTTTGGACTAGTATACTATAAAAGATTACAAGTCATTAGTAATAGGTATTTTAATTTATTTGCTTCTTTATTCCTTTATTCAGTAAATATGAGTAACAGTGTACTATGGTGCCAAGTATTGCTCTTCAAGTCTAGGCTAAATAAATGGAAAAGAGAAAAAAAAATCTTATATTTATAAAGCTTACATTGTGATGAATATTATAGCTATATTTTTATAATTTTGTCTGGTTGTGGTGCTGGGAATTGAATTGAGATCTGTTTCTTATTGCTGGGCAAGTGCTCAGTGAGTGCATTCCTGACTTCATACTCTATTAGTTTTAATCAATATCGCTTTCTAATATAGAGAAAAAGTAGTATTTAATGCGAGTAAACTTGTCATATGTGATGGTATCCATCTGATACTCTGTAGTAGTACCTAATTAAGAACTACATTTCCCTTTAAAATTATGTAACAACAGTGTTATTCTTTTATTCTTATCTATGTTTATATGCATGTGTCTGCTTTATAGGAACCCACAGCATTTCTCTATATCATTTTAATAATTACTTTCTTTTTTTGCACACATTTCTGATTTAATTTTTCCTTTGTATAGAATGATGGAAAATTTATGTTCTTTTATATCACTAGGTGGTGATTAACTTTTGTGTTTTTGGAATCATTCCATTAAATAGGTTACTTTAAGTTAGATAATTTGTTTCTATTTCATATTATATACTGTGTTTGTTAAGTGGTAAAGAAATGGTTAAAAAGAAATGATTTTTATGGAAACCTATACCTGTTTTTACTTGAAATAATTATTTTTTTGTTACTTTACTTTTAGGTAATCATTACAACATTAAAAACCTCTTGAATGTGGAAAGTTCTCTTCTTTTTACACAGATAAAGAGGTGAAATACATACGTATGTGTATAAAATAGATTTTTATTTGTAAATTTTTGTACCTAATTATTTAAAAATAAAACTTCTATTTAGTTTTGAGTTAAACTTGCTTTAGATAATCATTTCATATTCCTTGTTAAACATTTCATAATCTTGCGTGTATCTTGATTTTTCCATGAATGCAAATAATGTCTTTAATGATGAGCATTTTGCTGGTATTGTTTTAATAATATAGAAACCACAAACAAAAACAAAAACCATTGTTAACACCATGTAAAACACATCTGTTATAAAAGAGCTATTTGCAGTAGTTGGTTCCAAATATAAATATAAATATAAATTTTAAATCACTGGTCATTAAATAATCTAATAGAAAGCTGTGGTAAATATGCTGAATTAATTTCTGTGGGCTGTAACAAAGTGATTTAAAACAATGGAATTTGTTTTATGTATTTTTTTTTTTGTCTCAGTGTTTTGAGACTTGAAGTGTGAATTTAAGGTGTTCTCAGGGCAATGCTGACTTCTGTAGAAGGGAATTATTTTCTGCTTTCTGATGTGCTTCCTATCTTTGGCTTCCCTTGTACCTCAAACTCTTCAGTTTTACCTCCTACCAAATGTCTTTTATATTGCTGTGATAAGATATCATGACCAGTGCAACTTATATAAGAAGGTGTATGTTTGAGGCTTACAGTTTCAGAGGATTAGAGTTCATAATTATTTCATGGGGTGAGAGCTTATATCTAGATCCAAAAGCACAAGGTAGAGAGAATGCCATGTGCTTTTGAAACCTCTGGGCCAGCTCTCAATAACAAATTCCTTCAACAAGGCCACACTTCCTAATTCTTCCCAAACAGTTCCACATGCCATCAGCCATGCAGGTTATAGCCTGAGGCCCAATAAATACTGATTGCATGGAGCTGATTGCATGCTGGGTAATGGCCCAGCATCCCTACGTGGTGATAAGAAACACACACCACACCAGCATGAGGTCAGGAATTTTCTGGGCCCAGACTGTTCTTTTAACAGTTTGATTGAATTGGGCTTTTTGCTTAAAAGTTTATCTTTGTCCTGTTTCAATTCTGGAGGACCTTTTTTGCTTATGAATCAGTCTCGTGGAAGATGTGTGTAGCAGGCTCTATCTCCTGATTGCCAAGCCTGAGTAAATAATAAACTAAATCTAAGAACTTGTTGCTGAAGACACAACACATTGCAGATACAAGACTTGGAGGATCAAGCTTGAACTGATGATGCGCCTAGTATCAAGGAGGAGCTATGCAAGTTTGTCAAGGGAGAAATTTAATCAGTAGTTCTCTCTAGCCATAAAGCCTGCAATTCACAGCCATCACCAGTATGGCACAACCATCACCAGTATGACATGATCCTTCCGTATTGCTACTTGTATCCTGAGGATACCCAACAGCTAGCAATTGGGACTTAAGGCCTGCTCAGTATGAGGAATTGATGACTGATACAGTAAACTTAACCCATTACCCATGGTTGGTGAGGTCAAGGACCGCAGAGGAGAACCTACTGTTGCTACTTTTCCTAGACCAGGATAATTTCTGTGTTCTAAGTACTTACAGTCACAGATAAGTATAACTCTCATCCTTTATTAAAGAAATTTCTTTTTGTAGCTGATGAAGACTATTAACAGATGGTATTCAAAATTCAGAAAACAACGGACTTTGTGGTGGTTGGCTCAGACTGCTATGTCTGCAACACAATCCCTGTATCATGGAGAGGGGAAAGAAATACTGTAGGAACCAAGACTTATGATGGCTGTCTTCTGTATATGATAGGAAGCTGCAGCTGTGAAATCTGGACAGTATGTTGTATCTATAGACATGTGCCAATTTACCTGCTTTTATGTTGTGCTAGGGATAGATAGTGCTGGATAGTTTTATGTCAACTTGACACAATCACCTAAGAGGAAGGAACCTCAGTCACGAAGATTGGGTAGTAAGATCAAGATATATGCAAGCCTGTAGGGCATTTTAATTAGTGATTGATGGGGGAGAACACAGCCCATGTGGTGGGGTCATCTCTCCTCTCTTTCTTTTTCTTTCTTTTTGGGAGATGGTAACTGATGCTTTGGGATTAGCTTTCGTGTATGATGTGCATGCTCACGAGCTATCTGCTCTATGACTAGTAAACTTAATTGGACCTTGTAAATGATAGTAAACTTGGAACTTCATGAAGAAGTATTTTAATGAAATGTTTGAAAGTTTGTCTTCTGTAAGGTTTTTGTTAAGGACTGCTGTTCTTTTGGAATGTATACAATTTACCCTTATTTATTCAAATGCTGATTTCTTTCCTTCACTACCGGGTTTCAATCTGGACATTGTATTGTGATGCTTATTTTAAGCATCACCTGCCTCAAGTTTGTGTAAATGTGCCACCATTTGTTCTCTATTTTGTCAGTTAAACAACCAGCCACAATGCTGAGCTATGGGAGAGGATAGGGTGGGACATCCTGTTCCAGAAGGGAGAGAGAAGAAAAAGGAGGTGGGGGCAAAGAATCCACAGAAACCACATGGAGAGATGGGCGGGACCTAAAATATAACTAAAAGCAAGTATAATGGGTGACATCTGAATGGTAGGAGGTTTAGGATTTAGTAACTATTGCCAAGGATTGTGCTTGCTCGAAGTAATTAAATAAATCGTAGTCACTGTGTGGTGATATGGGTATGTAGCTGGTTTAGGAATAATTGCTGGTTAACTGAAAGATAAATCAATAGTAAATATTAATAACCCACAACAGACTGCTTAGAAAGCATCCATCCATGTAGCTTGTCATTGTAGAAGAACAAGAGTCAAATAGTTTGTCTGTCTGTAGAAGCATCTGGTCAAGTAGCATCAGTTATGCCAGTTGAGATTAGCTCCCTCGACCCACTTAATTAAAGGGAAAAAATATGCCAGTGTTATACCAACTTAAACTAGAAGTTCTAGGGGAGGACCACTTACTTGGTCTAGTCTAAGAGCAGCCACACAAACCACTCAAACTGTGGCCGCAGTTAGATATGGATGGTTTATTGAACACAACACTCAAGACTGGTCAGACCAGGGACACAGAAATGAACTCAAGAGCCTGTTACATATCTACAAGTTCTCAAAGCAGGGTTTTTATAGAAAGAACCAAATGCAAAAGACATGGGGAGAGCAGTAACACATTTTGGCTAACCATACAAAGCAATATTATGTTTTTAGCTAATTAGACAAAGTATTATCAGCTGACCTTTGTGCTGATTAGTCCTAAGTGAGCCAGGGCTTAGGGTCTTCTGGAGTACATCCAAAGTGTAGCCAGGTGTGTAGATACGAAGGATGCAGCCAGAATGCAGCCAGTAGATAAATAGATAGTAAATAGCGGGTAAAGCATGAGTTACAACACTGTTGAATCATAGAAAAATATAAGGTCACCTTGACCCTCTGGCAGGGTCTGCTAGTGCCAGCTATGAACAATTGCTTCAAGGAAGAGGAGTTGAAAAGTTTAAGATTTTGAACTTAATTTGCCCTTAGAAACAAAATGGAAGTTGAAATGGCTGCAATTATTTCTCAAAGCACACTTCAATATTCCAGGCTTCAACAATGCATAGTTGACAATTTATATCTCTGCAAATACCTCTCTGAGTCATGGAGTACTAGTGTACAATCTTGGAGGACAACTTAGACTAGTTAAATTGTTAAAAAGGATATTTCCTTTTTGACACATACTTATACTCAGATACCAGTTATTTTGACAGTGTCTTATGTAACCAAGGATGGTCTTGAACTCTTTTTTTTTTTTTTTTAATTTTATTTTTCATATTAGTTACATTTTGTTAACTCTGTGTCCCAGCTGTATCCCGCTCCCTCATTCCCTTCCCAACTCCACACTCCCTCCCTGGTCTCCTCCCTGCCCCTTTCCAAGTCCACTGATAGGGGAGGACCTCCTCCCCTTTCATTTGACCCTGTTTTATCAGGTATCTTCAGGGCTGGCTGCAAAGTCCTCCTCTGTGGCCTAACAGGACTGCTCCTCCCCTGGGGGGTGGGGGAGGTCAAAGAGCCTGCCCTTGAGATCCTGTTAGAAATAGTCCTTGTTCCCCTTCCTTACTTTGGGAAACTACTTGGTTACTGAGCTACCACGGGCCACATCCGAGCAGAAGTTCTAGGTTATATCCATAGATGGTCCTTGGTTGAGTGTCAGTCTCAGAAAAGACCCTGTGCCCGGATATATTTGGTCCTTGTAGAGCTCCTATCCTTTCCATATCATACTAACTCCCCTTCTTTCATATGATTCCCTGCACTCTGACGAGGGTTTGGTTATGAGTCTTAGTGTCTGCTTTGAAACACTAGTCTTGAACTCATCTTTCTTCTTCAGCCTCTTGACAGATTTTAGGCATGTGCCATTATATCCAATACAAGAACATCCTTAGTGTTTTTTTTAAAACTGCAAGGTTTCCACTTATAAAGTTCATATTGCTCCTAAGTATCTTATGTTTGCTATGCATACAGTAAAATTTTCCGTGTGTGTGTATGTAGGCAGGAGAATCAAAATTTTAAGGTCATCCTTGGCTATATAGTGAATTCTAGGTCATATCTCCCTTTCTATGTTGCCCTGAATAAAAGATTAAAATTCCTGAAATATGCTCAAAAATCAGACCTCTGATCTCTGTTCCTGCTTATTCCATTTAAGCCACACTGGCTCATTTTCACATCCAAGACTATGAGACACTACTTAGCTTCCAGCATCTATCCTCAGTGGCCACCTGTATACTCTCTTCACTATAAGAAGGCAAGTTAGCTTGAGTGAACCCAGTTTTTCACCCTCTTATAGTTGTCAGAAACACTAAAGTCCAAGAATTCTGCGGCCTAAGTTAACTCTTTGGAGCATCTGAGGCTTTGTTTGTGTTCTTCCCAGAACAGAATATCCAGTAAAATTTGAATTCTATGATCCAAAAGATTACCAGGGCATAAAGTCCAGAGCCAAGCACTTTCAAGGTCTCCAGTTGTAGTGCAATGTGATGCATGTACTTTGGGCAAGCATCCATG